ACCCAGGAGGCCACTGGCACGCACATACACGTATATTTAATTTTGTTATTTTGCTATAGGTTGTGTTAGTAGTTTCTCATACATCAGGCCTGTTAGAACAATTCTGTAGAGTTCTTACAACAGTATATTATGCTCAGGTTTAGTGGTTGTTTAAAGAGATTTCTGATATGTGGAGTTTACCTCCCATTATATGTGGAAAATAGAGTAAACCCTCACTAATTTGGATTAATTGGAGGGGAGATCATCCAGATCAGTGAAGCAAAAGGTAGCCCTAAAACACACACAAAAAAAATTGTAATATAAACAAATGGAAATTTTAATAATAGAAGTTGTGCTGATGAAAATAAATAGAAAATATCACTGTAGAGCTTTTATTTAAAAACTATATATAAAAGGATAATAAATTTGTTTGCTGATTGAAGACTCAGAAGTTGTACTTGTTTTTGAACGCAGGTTTCAAATAAAACTGCCAAGTTTTGTCTGAACAGACAAGTGACACATCTGCCTTCATAAATGCCAACAGTATTTCTCATATTTCTATCCAGTTTAACTGTAACTGGATTAGTGAGGGTTTTTTTTTTTTAATTTCTAATGGGATGGAACTAAGTCCCTCGCACTGCGGTCACTTCTGGCCTATTGTACCAGCCCCAGATGATAGGTGAGGGTGATTGTGGAGCAATTGGTGGGATGAAGATTGGCAGGGGAAACCGAAGTACTTGGAGAAAACCTGCCCCAGCGCCACTTTGTTCACCACAAATCCCACTTGACCAGACCTTGGATCGAACCCGGGCCGCTGCGATGGGAAGCCAGCAACTAACCACTTGAGCTATGCTGCAGCCTATAGTGAGGGTTTGCTACTAACCTTCTAATAATCTGACGATGTGTCGCTATCTGATGAGGACACAACTCTGAAGATATACAATCTAGTGGTTTCCAGACTTTATACAATGGTCTCTCTCCAGCTTAGCAAAGATTTTATCATGTATGGGAATAGTTTTTTTTCCACTCTTTTTAATTTTTAAATCAACACATTTTAGGCTTTTATGAATTAATATTTATCGAGATTTTAGAAACATTATGACATTTTTTAATCACAATAAATTTGAATTTACTATATAGCTTTCCCCCCTCCTTGGTGTCTCCACCTTATCGTGGTGAGGGGGTTTGAGTATGCCAAGGACCCTGAGAGCTATACCAGCGGTAGCGTAGCTACGGGCAGGGCCTCCCTTGCTGGACAGATCAAAGGGTAGGCATCAGACGAAGAGAGACACCGAAAACTGATGTCGGAAGCAGCGTCATCAGCAGCGACTTGAAGCACAGAGCAAATGATGCTCGAGATGGTTCAAGTTCGTATAGCAACAGGCGTGACCAGAGTGGTTTGAACGGCTGTTGTACTGCGATGTGGAAAGCAAATGGAAAAACTACCACATTATCACTTTTCCTGGATAGTCTCGTTCCAAAAACAGAAGATCGCATTAAGTGGAGAAACTGTTTTGGAAGAGACTGTGGACCTGTCATCTGACAGATTACTGATGATGATGATGATGATATAGCTTTCACAGATTACCTTGCATCCCTCCTAACCATTTACTTTCACCCCAAACTTCGGAGACCACTGGACTAAATAATTTACTCAACTAACAGCAATGGTGGGAAGATGTACTGTACAAGAACTTATACCTCAAGGATAAAACACAGGAGAGGACACAATGAAAACACAAGAGACGATATATACTAAAAACTGTATATATTGCATCTACACAAATATAACACATGGATCTGAGACGAGGTAACATTCTTGTTACTGGCTGCTCAGTAACGACGAATGAATACATTAACAATACGGAAAATACAAAACACAGCTTAGGGTTAGGTGAATACTGTCGAAACCACACCTTCTGACAATTAAACACACATCCAAACAGTGACCAATCAAAATGAAACACACAAATCAATAAGATTATTCCACTGTGCACATCTGTAACATGAGATCGAGTATGTCTTTATAGCCATCGTGGATGTTTGGCCCCGTAATGTAATTGTTATATACAGAGATAAAATATACTAAGAAGCAAAAACAAAAGGGGGGGGGGGAAGCTTGTAAAATAAAGTAGCACAACGAATTATTAAATGGTGTATTTAAAAAATTGTGGGCATATTGCATAAATGCCATTTTAATTACATAATACAGTATAATGGCAGTGGTTACGATATGTAATGTCTATATGATTTTGAATTCTTGATTAGATGATACTGAAAGAGCATCCAGTTGTGGACAACCAAACAACAAAAGTGGGTTTATCTATAAATAAAACTAGATATTCAATTCTGTGATTACAGTCTAGTGGATGTACTGCTAGCATCTTTACCTGCAGATGGAGACACATTACCCTAAAACACTCTTACCTACTGAAGTACATGGCACCAACCTCAAATTTCTTACAGGCACTGATCTTTAGGTCATTCAAAATAGTTCACAAAGAGTTTACAGCATTTGTGACAGAATTATTTATCAAAAACCTCATGCAGTTCTCCTATTAGAGCCCATACGTATTTTAGCTGCCTTAATAATTCATTATATAACATTTCACTACCTATGGGTGGGGGCAAGGGGGACTGCACACTGCTCACCACAGATCAGGTATCACCCCTGATCTTCTGTTAGACCTCAAGGAGTATATACAAGTGAAAGTTGTTAATGTCTCAACAAGCAATACATAAATTTGCTCAAGCAGGGAATAAACATAATAGATAAAGCTGCCCATGTTTAATTAAACATCCTGCCATGAAGACACACATAAGACAGTGAAGCTCTAGCTCCATGCATTCTAGATGGAGGTGAATGGTTAGCCTTACCCTTGGGAAAGAGGAATTGAAACCCAATGGATAAGAGGTTATGTGGGCCACAGAGTCAGTATGGATGCTATGAATAAAGTAAACCTCTGATGCTGGCGGAGAATCCCAATTGTCCAGTCCACAGCTTAACCACTACATTTACTGAGCTACCATGACTTAGACAAGTAGGGTGTGCTGTTAGGGAATTAATCAACAGGCCTTGCATGCATGGAACCAGCAAGTATGCCACACAGCTCAGGACATTATGTGCCAGTTTCTTGTCTCAGAAACATGGGCTAAATCCTAGTTTGGGGCATGTGGAATTTGTGGTGGACAAAGATTTAAAGCACTTAAAAATATTTGAAGTTAGTGACAGCAGCCTAAAATTGTGTATTTTGCTGCTAAATGGGTACAAATATGTATGATTAAATGTAAGTTATCTCACTTCTGAAAGAAAAAATACATTGAAACACTACAGAATAAATAATAAATTTACATAATTTAAAATCCTCTGTATCACAGTGTCTATAATCATAATCAGGACTTGAAAGATAATGCCTAATTGTCAAATTAAAAATACATGTCAAACCAAAGCCCTTAAAAAAATTCCTTTGCTGGATTTGAGTTTCTCACACCTGTGACTATGAAAAGTACAATTTTCTGGGATGTGACTGTGTAGTTTGGAGGGAGCCTGATGTTTCTGATGAACATTCTGCCTCCCTCTCCAGAGTTGAAGAATAAGCCAAGCAAAAGACCAGCAGAAATAGGTGGGTAGCTTCTGCTGGTCTTTTGCTTGGCTTACTCTTCCACCCTGAAGACCATAGTCCTTGAACAATACCACATTTCTGGCTGTTAAGTACTAACGTATGACCCTCTCATGAAATGATTCACACCAGCTGCACTAACTTAACAGCAATTTTTAGAACTGGAAATATGATCGGTTTCAAAATAAACCAGACCTGTCAATCTCGTGTGTTTTAATTAAATGTCACATTATGAAGATGTACCATGAGGTGGAGAATAAAATAAAAGTATACACTACAGATTGTTTTGTGGGATGTGATGCTGTGTGGTGGGACTAAGTCCCTTGTACAAGCACAATAGACCACTGTAGGTCGCGGTGCAAAGGCCGAGAAGGCCTACCCCTCATACAATACATACCAAGTCCCTTGTACTGCAGCCACTACTGGCCTATTGTACCAGCCCCAGATGATAGGTGAGGGTGATAGTGGAGCAATTGGTGGACTGAAGATTGGCAGGGGAAACCGAAGTACTCGGGAGAAAACCTGCCCCAGCGCCACTTTGTCCACCACAAATCCCAGTTGACCAGACCTGGGATCGAACGCAGGCCGCTGCGGTGGGAAGCCAGCGACTAACCGCTTGAGCTATGGCGCAGCCTCACTGCTCTATACGTAGAACATTCAGGGCAGAACAGTAAGTTAGTACGTACATCTGACTTCTATTCCATATATCCAGACCACATTTGCATGCTTAGAATATTCTTCTGTCCTGATGGTTGAAGCTGTTCCTCATAAGCTATCTATCAAAATATAAGGTGTCAGCCCAGAAGACCACAATCATCATAGTCACCACTGAGGGACCCCCAAATCTTACAAAATATACGTTTCATTGCCATTACTGGAGAAACTGCAGTTTATGCCATACAGATGACCTCGTACCCTGCAGAAAAATTGTGAATACTCATATAACCCAGTAATCTTCAAGCCTCGATTATAACTTACATCCTCTGCAGAAGCTTGAACACATGTCTGGGGTGTAATACTTGTAAATTCAGCTTAAAGCACTATTCTTCTTGCAAACATTGCTGAAGTTTGCCCATCCCATGCAAAGAAGCAAGACAGATTACAAAACACTTTGCTAATATGAACTAATAATTAATAGATATGACAAAATAAGTATTAGATTGAATTTCACAATATAAAATAGGGATAAATATACTCAGCAACAGTGGAATGTTAATACAACCATACAAGTTGTCTCTCATCTAACCCTCTAAAGCCCAGTGATTACTATATATACCACCTTTGTTAATATACTAAAACACTGAATTCTGCAATGGTGTGTATTTGTGTGTTTCATATGGTTCTCACAACAAGTAGCATTAACCAGCTGCTCTCTCTTAAGGAGAAGTTAAGTGTTTCCTGTGAGGTATGAACTGAATTTTTATATCAAATTGTGAAGAAACTCAGTCTTTAAAGGGTTAATACACATCCAGTTTTGTACATTTAGTATTCTCTCATGTGCGTCAGGTATGTTCTTGCTGTTCCACCACTCCTAGTCACAAACTGCATTCGAGCACCTCACATATACAGAATGGGGTCTTCTGTGTCATGACATCATGTAGTGTTATTGTTGGTACCAATATCTTGGTGAAACCTGCTGCTCCTGTATTCAGGGTAAAAGAAAGACTGAGGCTCTAAGTACCTCTTAAATGTTGCTACCAAACTACTAACTACACAGTACCATGACCCAGAAGACCACAATATGAATCACAGTGCCATGAAAACTTTAAAATCTTGTATCCTGGAAATTTATATAGTGCACTATTAAATACAGGATGCATCAGAAAGAATGGTTGGATTTCAAGTGACTGTTACACCACGACGGGGGGAGGTGTAGAGTGGGAGAGCCGACTGTTGGGTCAGCAGGAGAATGCAGTTTCAGTTGGTAACATGGAGTGGTCGGGTGCACAGGGTGTGTTTATCATAGAGACGTTTTTGAAAAATAGACAGTCTGTGATCACCATTCAACGAGCCTTCTGCACTCATTTCAAGCTCAGACGTCACGACAGGATCCATACTTGGAATACAATTTTGCAGTGGGCGGCTTCATTACATGCCACAGATTCAACCTTAAAGAAGAAATCACCTGGACGGTCATGGAGCACGCATACACCTGCAAATGTGGAGGCAGTACGGCAGGCAGTTGTCCAGTCACCTCAACGATCCGCTCACAAACATGCCGCTGCTCTGAGATTATCCGACACCATAGTAAAACGCATTTCTCATTTAGACCTTAAATTTCACCCTTATAAAATGGCAATTGTGCAAGAACTTCATTCAGAAGACTGGGAGAATCATGTTAAAAGTTTCCAGCGTATTCTTGCGTGCGTGCCTCCTACCGTCATTCTGTTGACCAGTGACAAAGCCCATTTCCACCTATCCGGCTGTGTAGATAAACAGAATTTCTGGTATTGGGCATAAACCCATCCTAAGGAACTGCACAAGAGACCTTTTCACAGTAAGAGGGTAATTGTTTGGTGTGCTGTAGCAGAACTGGTGTTTGGGAGGCCTTACTTTTTTAGGAAGGCCGTGCAGTGACCGTTACAAATGCTAATTACGTTGAAATGTTACAAAATTTTCTGCAACCAAGGCTGAACAAGCCTGCTGTTGATGCTGAGGACATTTAGTTTCAACAAGATGGGGCCACAGCTCACACTGCGCTAACAATGGATCTCCTAAGAGGGCTCTTTCCGGGGCACATCATCTCGCATTGCGGTGACATTCCTTGGCTCGCACGTTTGCCCGATCTTGTGCCCTGTGATTTCTTCCTTTGGGGCCATTTGAAGGCGGAAATTTATAAACATCGACCACTGGATGAGCTAAGACAGTGATTCAAGAAGAAATCACAGCGATTCCACCAGATATGACCATGAGAGTGATGAATAACTTCAGAAAACGCCTCAACGTCTGTATCAGAAGCCAAGGACGTCATATGGATGATACTGTATTCCACAAATAAACTACATGTATTGGCAAATCTGATGGTAACAAGAAAATTTGGATTTGATAAGGCCTTACCAATTTTATTGCCCTGTGAAATCCATTAATTCTTTCTGATGCAACCTGTATATTTTATCATAAAATTGGAGGGGAATGTGTCTCTATTTAGGGATGCAATTTATTTTATTACTGTAACACATGGTGGCTTATTTGGCAGTGATGAAATGCACCAATGTGAATTACCATGTTTGCAAGACTTCAGTAACTTTTGCTGTCAGTTGGCAGCAATGCCTAATTTGATAGGACTGAACATCTCATTCACTCTTTGTGTACCATTTCTACATACAGTCTACCCTCCATGCAGAGGTCTTCAATTTATGGGTTTCCTTCATTTACCACTCAAATTTAATGAACCAAAATCAATAATCTCACTGTTAAACTTTCCAATTTCACACTGTCCTCAGTTTTGTGCTTAGATCCATATAGAAATATTACATTGGGGTTTCACTGAAGTCATTCATTTCTGTGTACCCCACATTACACTCTTTGTAACTGACTGTTTAGTAAATAATGACCTACATTTAATAATTCTGAATGCTGAATCTTGACACAAGAACCAGTCAAGCAGAACTGATGCAGAAAGGCTTTGTTAAAAGGAGACAAGCAAACTTGTGATTATATATACAATGCATCCCCAATGCCAACAATTTTCTATCAAGTTTTTATGAGATGACATGCCACATAAAATTTTCTTGGGGCATTTGATGCATCAAAGTGGAACAGATTTCCAGTCTTACATCCTGTCACTTTACCCTTGTCTGAGCAAACTTTATTGCAGCTGCTCAGTGTAAAAGATTAAAATGTTAATATAGCACATCTTATCAGGAAGTATCCAAATGGATAGTGCCATAAGAAAATGGGGTCTAAGTCAATGGATATAGTTTTCCACATTTAATTTCATTTCATAGTTTCACCGCTCATATTGTTTTTAAAAATACATCAATATTGAAAAAAAATAATTTTGATAAACAGGGCCAAGTTTCCAAATTTTAAGCCCCAGACTGATGCCCAAGTCCCTATGACTGCTCCAATACCGCAATTCCATCAGGAATTTTCTTTAATTTAACACACAAAACCCTAATATCCCTTTAATCAGCAGTGCAACAGGCATAAGCTTACAGAATATTACACATCTTTCTGCACATGTTTATGAAGCAATAAGTAGTGCAATCCTTTATAGATAATGACCATTCTTCCTATAATGTTCTTCATTAATGGTAATCCATAAATGGATGCTCATATGGCAAAACTGAAACCCTTGAAACAATATGAAGATTACTTTGGACATTTCAAACACCATAAGTCTTTTAAAGTAAGTTTTGAAAAGGACCAATGGGAGGGAAAGTTCCCATTCACTTATACCTGTCAGAAAGACCCTGTCCAATTCACTGAACCTGACAGGTAATAACAAAAGCAGATCCAGTTTCTAAAAGACAACTGAGAAAACTCAATATCCAACATAACAGTCATGTTGATTGTTAACACACCAGTCAGACATATTCAGACTCGGTATGAGCCTTAAAACTCTCCACTTCAGTACATAACAAAACAGGAAAAATATATTACTATTCAAACAACATATTCATATGTAAGATTTGAGGTTTTCACAGTGGTGACTATGAAGAATGCCTTCTTCTGGGATGTGGCACCATGCAGATCTTGTCTGAACCAATGTTTTGGAGAACACGTTGCCTCCATCTTCAATTTAAGTTCCTTACCTTACTTATGATTTTTATTTGACATTATGCAGAGAACATGATTTCAATACTCCTATGCTGCCCTTCTGATTGTCCACTGGGAGATGCTTTAGCTGCCTCACCCTTTTGCCGGCCCTGCATGAACTGTTTCACATTGCAATACACAGTCCAGTTCTTACTTCACAGACCATATTTATTTTAATTAAACTGAAAGCACAAGAATGTAATGTAACATGCTAAACAAGGCTCAGCAAATATCTATACAATCATGCCCAGAAAACAGATAAAGGTACATAAAAATATTTTAATTTTATAGGCTGGTATTGCAAATTGGCAGCCACAATGGTCTGAACATAATCCAAACTTTGATTTTAATTTACCTTACCAAGATGGTAATTCATGATTATTTTTTAAAATAATGTTTTGTGATAAATATCACAGAACAAATAGGTTAGAAGTAACATTTTATTATAAAAATGGCCATCTATATTAAAGTTATGTTTGATGCATTCATGTTTCACTTCATTCGGTCATTACTAGTGTACATTAGTACAACAACATTGTACTTCAATTAAAGTCAGAAATATTGAGGTCTTCAGGAATGTGACACTATATAGTTTGATAGGTGCCATTTCCAGAGAAATGTAGTGCTTTTATCTTCAAAGTATATGGAGACTACAGGTTCCTCCAAACCGACACATCCATCTACTGAACCATCCAAGGAGACCACAATCTTAATCTTTACCACTGTTCAAGCCCCAAATCTCACAACTCAAAACCATTTACTAAACTGTGGTCTAGGAATAAATTTCTGTCATTTCATGAATGGCTTTTGATATTACGCACATCATTTACATGTGCACCAAATTGATTCTAACAAATGCACAACCATAAAAATTCTTTTCCTAATCTCTTGCATTTTTCTTCCTTTATAGGACTAGAAATTAGTGCATTTTAAGACATCATACAGCCATTTCTTATAAAAGCACAGTTGAGATTATAAACAAACATAATTAATTATTCTGCTGCCACATTTTAAGTACATATGTGTGCATGTATGTAAAAATCAGTTCATGATTACTTCTTGGCAGAAAACCTGGTAAGTTAAAATACACATGACAATGAATCACTATCAAGGGCTTAATTCAACCAGACTATCTAGGGCATGATCTTCTGTGGCACAATGTCATGTAGTTTGGACAGTCTGCCATTACAAAGGGACATCACCTCTAATCCTCATGGTTAAAGAGTAGGTTAAGCAAGAAATCATCAGAAGCTGACATCACTCTGAAGACTGAGGTGATCCAAAGAGTTGGGCTTTCTCCAAATTGCATGGTGTTACTGTTCAGAGGACTGCATTCATCATGGCCACGTCTGTGAGAACCTCTATCCACTGTCTGAATAGGCACAAGGTAACTGCTCAATTGGTCTTAGAGTTAATGCTATAACCAACAAAAATTACAAGCATGCATAAGGAATGTTTCAAGTGTGACCATCTGCACTGACTGGGCCATCATATTTTTGAACCACATCCTGCAATTCTTGCTCATAGTCATTTTAAAGTCCTTCGCATGTATAAAACAAATGTTAAAATCATTAAAATTCACAGCACCACTTTCACACAAACACAGGAAAGAAATTCATTCACTGCTTCAAGTTCACAAACATGTATAAATGTCTTTTTAATCAGAAAACCAATTACTAGAACAAGAACAGAAAAACTACATCTTGCCTGACTAGCCCAGTTCATATCTAATGGAAAGGCACAAGTCATTTTATTTTCCTCTTCTTTATGAAAGAAATTCTTGACTTTACTGATTTACTTAATTGAGTTAGCTTCTAAAATGATCACTTGATATAAATCTCCTCAATTATCTGACTTCAACATACAAAGAAATTGTGCTGATATCTTTGAGATGAATTATTTACAAAATGGAATGCCCCTTAAACAAGAAACTGTTGTCACTTCCTGAATGAAGGAACTACCAAATACCAATCAACAAGCGAGGAGGGATTTACATCTCATTTAAATTTATACTCCCCTATTCTCTGTGGAATGTAGAGAAATTATACATATGGCCATACTTGCAAATAAAAAACTGATACACAGTAGCATCATTTGTTACGTTTGCACCATATCCCAGTCAAATATAAAACGATAACTCTGCTTCAATGGGCTCTCACAATTATTTGCAAACACTTCACAGTCACTGGTTCAATTAACGGGACGAACACAGCTGTCTTGGAATGTCCTCAACACTGACACCATTTTGCTCTTCTGCCATTATGTCTCTTTGGTATGCAAAAGAACACAGTTTCAATTTAATTCAAAGGTCTGATGTACATCATGTCTCATTGCTTCTAACACTAGATACAAATTTTAAGTACTTTTAATTGATACAAAAGTGCTAATCCGAATGTCCGATACAATATTACATACAACACATGTGAACCAAGCCTTTATTACAGCCAAAAATCATTCCTAACATTAAAAGTAGAAGCACTAAAAATGGCTTCACCAGAAAGAAACACTATCATGTTCACACGACACATCACCTACAGAATCGGATGGATTCCACGTATACTTCAGAAAAAATACTGGCGGCATAATACACAGTTTGAACGTTCACTTGTCTCAAAGTGGTTGGCTGAGTTGGCAGTGCTGGATCGCTGCGCGTGAAAACTATTTGGCACTTCACATGAGCCTGAATCAGTTTCAGGACACATACAATAGAAATAAATGAACAACATTCTCAGCTGTAGATGTGTGTCCCACCACTTATCCAGAAGCTTCTTAGTAAGGAAATATAAAAATTTTACATAAGGAAACTTTGAAGGTTCTCTTCTGAAATGAACACGTGCATAGCCATCTTGTTTTCTTACCCAATGTACCTGTGTGCTAATGCAGAAATACTTAAGCCTCATATATCACCAACAGAAACATGGCTGCTTGTTCTGGACTTCAATCTGTTTTTTTGTGAATGAATCCCTGGTCAGCTGCGTGTCAATCACTGTCACTGACTGGCAAGCCTGGTGACGGCTCAGCACCACGACTCTGAGGCCGGCGTGTTGAAATTCTCATCCTCATCGCTTGGATCCTCTCCGTACATATCTGCTAATTTACGGAATCGTGGCCCAAAATTTGAAAGGTAGTCAAAGTTCAAATCACCTTCATCAGTACCTAAGAAAAAATATCAAACTTTTAAATACAGCAAGATTCACCTGTAGGGGGCCCCAAATTAATGTGTAAATCATACAATTATTTGCTTTGGTCTGTACCTGCAGGTGTTATGTGGTGGAATAATGTATGTGAACATGGGGCACTGTGTCGGCCCATCTCCAGGCAGAGGCGAACCAACTTCACAACATCTTCTATAACCCTATCAGCTTCATGCCACTCAGACATGTACTCCCTCAAGTTTCGCCGTCATTGGTAAATTATTGTATGATTTTTTTTTTTAATTTGGGGAACTTATACTAGTGCATTACCCTGTATAAAAATACCAGAAACTTCTGGTATAACTGTCATTAAAATCAAAGTGAAGTCAACAGAAATTTTAAATCTAATACATTTCTAGAAGTATAAATATAAAACATCTGTATTCCAGAATGTGATACCATGTACCCTGGTTTGAAAGCAACATCTTTCAGATGAACTTGCACCCCCATCCTCAGGGTACAATAGTACATTTTTACAATGAAGATGGGGGGGCAATATGTTCTTCTGAAACAGTCATACCTTCCCACCAAAATTACTCTTCTATCTTGAAGATGGAGGAAGCGGCTTCCACCAAAATGGTCATACCCTTCTACTACAGTACACATGTCACATCCCAGAAGCCTGAGACTTTCATATTCACTGGTGCGAGCTCACAGGTCACACATTACTAATATGAAGCCATAACCACAGCAGAAGTAAAGGTAACCCCATAAGAGGCTGTGGAGGCTAACAGGGTTGTGAGAGGTCAAGGCTCCCACATTTTCTGGACAATCGACTCACAGATGGCAGTGAGGTTGTCAGCCTTACACGCCAGCATCCCTTTACCCCCAGGAATATTCCTGGTACTCATTTCTGCTAGAGGCTGAGTCGACCCCAGGGCCATAGTGTGGCTGGAAGGAATACGTGAATTGAAAAAGATCCAATGACCCCATTGGGATTTGATCCCGCAACCTTCCGGCTTGTAGCATAGTGCCTCAAACAGTGTACAAACATTACAACACACACAATCTGACATGTCTATGCAGTGAACGGAAATATGTCACGCAACAGTAGCTCTAACTCACCTGATGCCAATGATGACAGTGAGCCTGTCGTATTTCCATCACCTTCATATGCATAATGACGCACATCATCAAATGGATTTGTTTCAGGGTCATTATCACACACTTTCTTCTTGCCATCGAGGAAGCCGCAGATGTCAGGCACTTCATCTGGAGCTACAAGCAAAACAGATGTTGCAGTACTTGTTTTTCTCTGGAATTATGACACAGTCTGGTTACTGAGCTTAACTTCAGTGTCACACCTGCTTTGTCTCCAGGAGGTCCAAGGTTCAGATCTCAGCTGGAGAACAGTTAACCTGAGTTTGTCATGATTTTCTTCAGTCCCTACAGTTAAATGCCATGATAGTAAGCAGGGCTCAATGGTTTAGAAGTAACACTCTAGATGCTATCCCACCAACCAAGGTTTCCATGGTTTTCTCAGTTTCTCCAAGCAAATAACAAGACTGTACTTCAATCAGGTCACAACAGCTGACTTCAACATCCTTTCCAATTCATCACTCACTGATTATATCATTCAACTCCTGAAACAGTCTAGATGCTGACAGCGTTGGAGGAGGAGGAGGAGAAATATTCTTTGCATGTCACAACCACTTCCTTACACATCCATTCCAAATCTCTATTTGCCACTCATCGTATCATTCAAGACTGTATTATCTAATCTACTGAAAGCTTGTTATACAGACAACACATAAATTAAAACACTGCAAAACCGAATTTCACTAATATCTATTATTTGAACATTATCATTCACACAGAATATTTATATTACAGTTCTGTCAACAATGCAAACACTTTATTCCTTAGAATTTTCACTTTTTACAACATGTTTTGGCACCAAACGGCCATAACAGGTATTCCAACTCGCCAAAACTGTTACCTGCATTGAATATCGGTCATACATTTCACATGTAACTGCATTGGTCTATATTAATGCTGCAGTTACAATCCAGCAAACATGCGTCAATTCACAATACAGTGACTCATTTTCTATTATAATTAACTAAAATTCCATTAAAACTGTTAAATTTGAATTAAGTTTTAAATTTCAAATTTTTATTTTTAATTATTCTTCTTAAATTTTATACACTTCCTACACCTCTCTAAGGCGTCGTCCATTTGCCCAAACAGTATATATTTTGACCGTCCTTGTTTTTGTTTGAATGTGAATGCGAATGTTATAGAAACGCAACAGGATGCTTAAAAAAATATTGAACGTTATCACCATACAATCTATGCCTTTCTATATATGTATTCTGTAACCTTCCTTTTTATCAATACACAGTCACACAGAATTCTGAATGATCTCAAACGCAATGAACTGGTGGAACCTTTGCAATGAACGGTCTCCATCTCTAGCTACACTTCCACAGACCCCCCCCCGGTCAATCCACTCACAAAATAACCTCGGAGTATGAACATGAAAACATGAAGCTGCAGCAGCAAAGCACAGGTACCTCTAACTACTGCCTGGTGGTCCTACTGTAACCACCAGCAACGTTGTCTGCCGCATAACAACTGAACACAGGCAGATTGACTAGCTTCAGGCCTATTTATGTACAGGTGACCCTCATCGCAGACAGGAGTTGCCTTCCATAGAACTGCCGTGTACATCGAAAAGCACTTGACGAACACTCAGCATGGCCAAGGAGTGGGGAAAACTACATGAATGAATCAAAATGATGAGACGAGTTACAGAACATGCGCGTTTAATTTACAATGTGTGGGGCAGCTAACAGAACACATATTCCTCATGACAATGAAGTAAACTCATGGATAACAGAAGCATACACAGAGAGTTACTGTGTATGGATCTTGGAACTTTGCCTTCAGAAAGTTCTGGGTCACCCCTCCCCTTCAGTCCACTAGCACTTTTCTTTTCTACCACCGCAAGGACTGAGCCCAAGACCCATTCCAATTTTTTTTCTTCAATCCATGAACATAAAATCTCATTGGATACAGGGACAACAAACTTCCTATCCAGGCACATCAAGGAGAAGATCTCTGACTTCTGGGAACTTACCTCCTCTGCCTACAAATGGTGCCTTGACAAGCTCCTTGCCCAGTATCGGCTGTCCATTGCTGTCGTACATGAGGCGCAACACGTTCAAGTCATAACCTGTCATATCTCCTTCGCCGCCACCTTCATCCTCGTAGTTTATGATGTTCTCTCGAATGTCATCCGTGTCTTTATATAGGTCATCGGTCCTTCGACGGTGCACGACCACAGCCAATAGCAAGACTGAAAAAGAAGGCAAGTAAGCAAAACAGTAACTACATGCAGCTGAATCCTTCTTGATAAGCTACAAATTCCCCAACTGTCACAGAAACCAAAGGTTTGTTTTACCAGCGTCACAAGAGCCTGTCACTATCACCTACCTCCAAGCCAGATGAATCCAGTCCACCTCACCCTAGGTTTCAAAATTTATCTTCCCTTCAGGTGTTCTGACCGATTCTTTTATGAATTTTTTTCCCTGTCATGCATCCTACACACCCCCACCCATATGATACGGGAAGATAAAAGAGATTGGAGACTTTTTGTCCCAATAGGTATAACACGAAAATTATGCTTCGAGGAGGAAAAAGGGGCAGGGTGAGGAGAAGCTAGAATATAACAGTGCTGTAGGCTGGCACTCACTCAGCAGAATGGCAATGCAGACTAATATGGCCACCAGGAAATTTGTGTTGATCCCAAATGACACGGCCCGTGCTACTCCTCGACTGCAGTCTGGATCCACTTCCTTGCTGTCGCTTGGTTCCCCCAGGTTGTATGTCTGATGAACACAAGTGAAACATAACTGGTAATGTTTAGTGAGCACTAAGATGATGACATGGCCAACACAGTTATCTACTATAAAACTTCAGAACGTACATTTGTATGGACACATTCTTAAATGCTGGAAACACCTGAAGGCTCTTCCTATTCAAATACTGTCACTTTTAAAATATATTCACTGTGAAATGTCAAAACGTTATTCTATACATTTAATCTTAATGCTGCTGATGCTGCAATGTGACAGCCTCCTGCAATATGGCATTCTTACTATCCCTGCCTCATTACAAGCGCCACCTTGCCCAACTAACTTTCTGGATGTACTCAAACTTGCTGGGTATATTTCCACTCGTGGTCTCTGACAAACTTGAAGTCAAAACACTCCTTGCTTCCTTTGCATGCTACCTGCAGAAGAATTTGGAAACTACTGTACCTAGCAATGGCGACGGGATGCATTACACTACATATCATAAGAACAGTACAAATGATATCCAACAGTGTTCCTTAAATTTTTCCATGTAACATGTGGGTTGGCTGGTCCAAACAGGCCTCAGGTCACATTGGTTCCAACATAAATACCATGACCGCCAAGTTTCAATCTAGCTGCTGGTGCTGCAGTATCAGGAGATTTAATCCGCTTTTGCTGAATGATAAAGAATGATTCAATTTCTAATAAATCTCCATGTTTAAGGAAAACTTTCAAAATAAATGGGCACAAACAGCATGGTTGGGCAGTAACCCCTCATGTATGANAAGATTTAATCCCCTTTTGCTGAATGATAAAGAATAATTCAATTTCTAATAAATCTCCATGTTTAAGGAAAACTTTCAAATGGGCACAAACAGCATGGTTGGGCAGTAACCCCTCATGTATGAAATGGATACATTCAATTCCATCTAATTATGTCCTGGGAATGAGGAAAGAAACACTCCACATTGCACGAGATTGAATGACGAAATCAGAAACTTCCATTCAGTATGTTTCCTGCAACTTGATAAATTGTGAGGCATATGTCAGTAGTGTTATGGAAAAGAAGGTTAAGTCACTGAACATCGGTCATCAAGAGAATAAAAACTTGCTAGTTTATGCAGTAACACATTTACTTAACTCAGTATTTCATTATGTCATTGAATGAAATGCATTGTGCTTCAAGACAAAGCCTAGTTTTTATTTCATTCTTTTTAATACAACGAATTTTGTGGTATACTTATCTCATTCTGATCAATTTCTAACTTAACATTCTCTATTCCATAACACCACAACAGATCTGTCTTGTTGCTTCCACTGCAGAAAAATGTTTCATGTCATTTGAACACCAAGCAGACTGCCAAAGTGCTAACACTCCAGACTTGCATTGGGCAGTTTCTTGGTTCGAACCTCAGCCTCAACATTGCCTATTCAAATTTATGTTTTATGTGGCTTCCTGCAGTTCCTACAGGCACATTCTGAGATAGTATCTCAGTTAGGCTTACCTCCAACTTCTTTCCCGTTCATTAATCATCCTACTATTTGACACCATGTAATTAACGATATTGACAGCACTGTCAAATGTATCACAGACACACACATATGAAATCTGAATAAATACATCTTACCTTGTCATTTACTGTGAGATTACGTATACATCCAGCAAAGTTCTGAGTCGTGGGTCTGCGTGTCCAATTCATACTGTTGGCAACATCATTCAAATTCACGACAGTCCCACCCAGTTGTAAAGGTCCATTGACATTGAGAAATTCATTGGGTCCCTGGGGTGTTGTGAGGGAAAGGCAGGAACTCATCTGACAGTTGTCAACTTTCAGTTCTATACTCTGCAATGACAGTGTTCAGTCAAAATCCATCAAATTACCCTTAGAAATTTAAAAAAGCACAAAATGGTGAACATCATATGCTTCAAAAGTAAACCTGTCCCTGTCCTGGGACATCCTGAATACAGCGAAACCTGTCCTTAACCTTCACCTCAGAAGCAATGTATTCAAACGCTACACTGAGGAATACTGTAAAAGGACATAGTTCAGCATTAAGATTACTGATGTGAAATCATCAAAACTCAACTTCAAATGCAGGGAAATCTAAAAATCAGGTTCTACTGTATTGCAACATCCACAAGAAAGCAACCACATGCCTGAGAAAAGCCTTGTTCGCTACTTGGCTTACTCTTCAACCATGAAAATGGAGGCATATTGTGGCGTGGCGCTATGCAGGACCCCGCACCCCGCCAGTGGTGACGTAACACCATCAGAACGCTGTCATTACTAGGGTAATAGGTAAATCAACACTACTTCCCCACCCCACCAGTGGTGATGTGGCAAAGGGATACTGCAGTTGCTATGCAGCAGTAAAGAACTCCCGACAGCGTTGCCAGTAACACCTGTAAACACGGCGCCAGACAACAGTTAAGTGTATCAGTCGCCGACGTTGAGTTCTCAAGGCAGCAGCCTACGAAGAGTTGGAATCTAGCCAGCGGAGAGTTAGTTCTCAAGTCAGCAGTGAACGAGTTGAAATGTGGCCGTCGCTGAGTCCAGTTGTTTTTGTCAGTTGAATTGGAACAGCCGCCAAAGACAGTTGGAAGTGAGTCAGCAGTCAGTCAGTGTGTGATCAGGACTGACACAGTGGAGTATGGCAGCAGTCGCAGAAAGAAGAACCGGACGTGTAATTGTGTAATTGGGAGTGTGTGATACAGGGACACTTACATAGCTCCCGTACTGTGAATACGTGTAGACTGCTGAAGATAGAGTGAACAGATTATTGCGAATAGGGTTATAAAGTGTGAAACCCCGCAACAGTGTGAAGAGATTATTGCGAACAGGGTTATAAAGTGTGAAACCCTGCAACTGTGTTATAAATAATTGTAGCCGAGACTTGTAGGTTGTTAAATAAACTAATTAACAATCCGAATGGTGTCTTCAGTAATGAAACAGGTTACGATATGTTCCTCCAAAACATCAGTAAGCTGCTACTAAAGGCCCTCACATCTCAGATGATACACCCTCTCAAGAACTTCCAATGACTGACACATATAGTTTGACATGAAATATGGTTGGACATAATAATAAGTTTGAGCTGGAAAACAACTTACAGTTCGGCTCCAGAGAATATCCACTTTGTGTGATTTCCCATCAGTCAATTTGATTTGTCGCTGCTCCACACTAACTGTGCCAGATCCATAATCCATCAGAAGACGTGCATATCCTCTGTCTATCTCCAATGACATGAAGTCTGTTGAAAATAAAATCAACATAAAATCATCTATTGGTTCTAAGGGATTTTAAAAATAAACAACGATATTTTTCTTTAACATCATTAGTTGGATAAACTTCACAACATCTTACATACTTGTAGCATATTTCCTTACTGATAGATATACAGCACAATTCACATGGAGATGGACCTGAATTGACAATTATAAATCAAGCAATAATTTACTGATGTAAACAAACTTTTAGTTATTTTAATATAAATACGACAAGGCATGCAATGAACTAGTTTAGCGTAAATCGAATAAGCACCTGAAGATGGCACTTTTGTGCCGAAACATGTAGTGCGAGTGAGAGGAGGAGATAGATGAATGTATGCACTGGAAGACAGGTGAAATAAATCATGGACGTAAACAAACTTGGCAACAATGACCCAGTGCCCGCCTGCCTGGTTTGCACCATTTCTTTCAGTCTGCAATTCCTCTTGTCACACTGGATGCTCCATGTTTGCAAACATGGAGCATCATCTCTGTCTCGCTCTCCAGGCACAGGGAAGCAACACAATCACCTCTCTGCATCTACTGAGGCACATACTTGCCAAGTTTTATTTCCAAACATAAATTATTTAGTGATTTATAACTATTAATACTATTAATAAGGGCACTCCTCTGAGTGCATCACTCTGTATATGACCTCACTGGCCATTGAGAAAACTATTCTGAATTACTTTGAGGAGAATGAAATGATTAAATTTAGGTTTAGTGAAGAACACGTGCTTCAGTCAACAGTGTTCAACAGCCCCCCTCAAAGTCTCAAAAATGCAAGTAGTAATATTATGTAACTTGAAACAGCACTTAAATGTTACTTACTTACTTACTCCTCTTACTCCACAGATGAATACTTCAATGTAAACAAACAATAACTAGTATCAATTCTAGGCTAAAGTGCATTCCCAAGCATGTTACTGTATCATTTTGTTTATTTGCAAACTGTGCTGTGTGTATCAAATTAGCATAGTAATATTAATATTGTATTATAATCTTATCAACTTTTATAGAAAAATTATTACTGTACAGATATTATGTATTTCTACTTGACTTGTTCCACCTGTTCAACCTGTACTTAGATTTATGGATCATAAATTCAAACTCAACAGGTTGACAACAGAAGCTGAAAAGTAAAATGTCAGGTCCACCAGCCTGAACATGACAAGAAGAAGGAAACATCTGTGCCTGTGCAGGGGAATAAACCTCAAGCAGTGCAGCCACTTCAGTGACTAATCTAGCATGGCTTATATTTTGACTTGTACAATGACAATATTTAATTACATAACCAAAAAGCTGTATAAAACTTGTGTGAGAAAAGAGAGAGGGAGGGGGAGGGGGAGAGGACACAAACACACAGCCATATCATTAGAGGAAAAATCTAGCCTTACATATTTTTAGCTCTGGAATGAGTTTAAAGAAACTGATTCCAGTACTAAAAATTATGGGATTAACCTGTTGCAACAGGTGTGGTGGGTCATGCAACAAGCCACCCCCACACTCCCAATCAAATCTCAGAACCCTTAATATTTCCTAGCGTGAATGTACAATACTCTAACTGTTCCCCCGTGAATGCAAAAGTAAAGTAATGCTATCCTTGTAAGAGACTGTGAAGGCCCATAGGGTTGTGAGATGTTGAGGGTCCCACATTATCTAGACAATCGGCTCAAAGATGGCGGTAAGGTTGTCAGCCTTACGCACCGGCCGCACTTTACTCCCCAGGAAAATTATGTAATTAATTCCTGGTAAGCTTTTCTGTTAGAGGCCGAGTGAACCCCAGGGCCATAGTACGGCTGGAAGGATTAAGTCAATTAAAAAATAGAACGACCTCATCGGGACTTGAACCCGCGACCTTCCGGCTTGTAGCATAGCCCCTCAACCAACCATGCTACCGCGTGCCCCTTCCCCAGTGAATGTACATAAACATACTGGAACAACGAAACAAGAGGCACTCAGCGGCTGGTGTAGTAGTAATATTGATTCAAATCTGAGAAAGGACATTCATTATTCTGACTGCAGATGCCTGTGGAGATCCTTAGTCCCTGTCCCTTGTACCTTGATTAGGCCACAACCACTTCTTTCCAAATTCTTTTTAAAATATTATTGAACTCTCATCCAGGACCATAAAGTCTTGCTGCAAAAGCAAGGACATGCCTAGTATATTAAGACTGAAGAAATTATCTTGGATTTATACCTCGTACATCCAGTGTGGGGTTTGGAACCAGTGGACCAACATAAAACACGAGTCCATCCTCTTTGTGTGGAGCCAATTCAAGAGTTAAACGAGCCTCATCACAAGCAGCGATCGTCGGGTACAGTGCCCAACCACTGCCGTAGAAGCCGATGCCAATGATCTCGCAACGAGGCCCTTCAAATCCTTCCATGCACTCACATCTGAAACATGACAGACGCAAAACATGAGCATACTGGAATAGTTTTGGGGATATCATTTTTAATCCTCATTCCAAGTATTTTCCTTCAATTACATGAGTGGACTTTTAATTATTTTAATCCTTCATAGTTTTCACTACTATCACTATGTATCATACTGGCAACAACTGTAACCATATCTTAGCCAAAAAACAGGCAATTCTTCTACTTACATAACCAACCCCACTGAGCTCAGCCTTTCTTGAGAAGCTGCCAATCGCTCAGCTACTCAAGCAAGAGTTTCTCAACATTTTATGGAACGCGAAGGCTCATTACTGTATTCACAAGAACCTGCCACTGGCCCCTATCCTGAGCCAGATCAATTCAGTCCATACCGCTCCATCCTATTTTTCGATGCTCAATTTTAACATTGTCCTCCCACCTACCTTTGGGCATTGTTAGTGATCTCTCTCTTTTTTTTTATTGCTAGTGGGGTGGGACTAAGTCCCTTGTACTGCGGCCACTTCTGGCCTATTGTACCAGCCCCACGTGATAGGTGAGGGTGATTGTGGAGCAATTGGTGGAGTGAAGATTGACGGGGAAACCGAAGTACTTGGAGAAAACCTGCCCAGCGCCACTTTGTCCACCAAAAATCCCACTTGACCAGACCTGGGATTGAACCCGGACCGCCGTGGTGGGAAGCCAGCGACTAACCGCTTAAGCTATGGCGCAGTAGTGATCTCTTACATTCTGGCTTTCCCACCAATATCCTGTATATATTCCTCTTTTTCCCACACATGCTACATGTGAATCCAACCCTGCCCTCCTTGATTAGACCATTCTACTTGTATTTGGTGAGGAGTACTAGTAATGAAGCTCTTCATTATGCAGCTTTCTCCAACCTCCTAACACTTCAACCCTCTTCAGTCCAAATATTCTCCTCAGTAGCCTGATCTCAAACAGCATGTCTGAGAACAAGTTTCACACCCATACAGAACCACAGGCAAAATTATAGTTTTGTATATTTTAACTGAAGACACAAAAGAAAAATTTACTTAAAATTTAAATGAAAGCAGCAGTATTTTAGATAACAGAGGTATACACCACTAACGTTGTGCCAACTGGAGTACCACCATTAAGGCAGACCAGTGGTGCCGGTACAGTACACGTGCACATTGGATCCACAACAGCCTGTACACCCACAAAGGAAGTTGTGTTGGTATAGACAGCAGATGGCGTGTTACTCTTGCTCAGGAAGTTGGTGCAAGACGATTCACATGATGCCTTCTCTATCAGACATTCATCTATGTTGATCATCAGTAATGTCACGCCAAGCTCCTGCTCAATCTGAAGGCACAAGAGATATATGTGTAGGCTACTGTACTCTTTTTGATACCTGAGAATCTTTTGGCAGCAACTGTGAACAACTGTCACCTGGGATGCGAGGTGTTTACAGAAGTTCCAGAAAACATGTCACCTCATATGCAGGGAACACAAACACAAAATAAATTAATGGAATGGAAAGAGATGGGTGGCAAGAAATAAACAAGGAAACAATGTAGAAAGAGTAAAGAGATCAGAGACATATTATCCATCGACCTTCATAAAGTGCAAACAATGGTGAAGGGATGGGAGGGAAAAAAAATATAGTAGAAGCGTTTATATACAGTTATTACATACAAACGATCTTTAGGCCTGTACTTTCAAATATTTATGGCAAAAAAAAAAAAAAAAAGACACAGAAGTGAAACTAACACCATTAGTAAGAAACTTTTAAGTTATGGCAAGAGCCAGCGTAACGCTGGCTATCAGGTGTCGTGCATACTGCCATGTCTGTACAATGTCAACTCAGCAACAAAAAGCATGATGTCATCACTATGGATCGGACTTTAATGCCTATGCATACTTCTTTCTTGCAACCAGAAAGTATGCTCATTTGGATATATGTATGAATTGCTTAATTTCTTAAATTCTGGACATGGTTTGATGGTGCATATAAATGCATATATTGCCTGTTTTATGAATAAGCATCATATTTCTGAAGATCTCGATTTATACTGCATATTTCCTTTTTAAAATGTTTATCATATATATTTTTTAATTTTATGTTCAAATTTTCAATCAAGGCTGTGTGTATACAATTTTTCTTTCCCATATTATAATACGTTGCATATTTGACTCAACATTTCGTCATGAGTTTAAGGTCTTTCATTCTGGTCCGTCACACTAACCAATTAACAATCAAGTTTTTCTACTATAAATGCCTCTGATGATGGCTCCGTGGTGAGCCGAAACATGTAAGGCAGGTGCTGACGAGGTGGAAAACTTAAAAAAGTGTCACATTTGACGGAAGGAACTTGATTGTTAATTTCGTCATGATTTATGTTTCTGATGCAATACCCAGAACGGGACTTCCCAAATCCCTCTACTCGTAACTTGCCTCATCCGCGTACCATCAAAGTGGCCGCGAAGAGATTAGTCGGAAGTGTTCACATGTAGCTGCTATCAACGTAATACTATTCAACTGATAAGGGACTTCATTTAATTATTTCCGAAGCCCCCATGAGGTTTGTTACACTTCTTCATTTGAAGCTGGGGGGGCCATTCACATTAGTGGTGACTAGTCTGTAGTCAAGTTTCTGTAGTCATGCCAAAAGTGAAAGTCAGACAGAAAACTAAATTACAGCTGTATCAGCGGGAGTTTGAAGGAGAGATGATAAGTACGGATAACGAAATTATTTATTGTTGAGCGTGTGAGAAAACAGTTGGTTGTGAAAAACACTTTCAAGTGCTTCTGCATTTGAGCACTAATATACACAAAGAGAATATTAAAATTAAATCCACGAAGAGTGCTCCTGTTCAAAAATTGCTTAGTGAATTTTCTAATAATAGTTTTTCACAGTTTTCCTTTGAGTTATGCGAAGCCTTTTTAGCGGCAGATATTCCGCTGTGGAAACTAACCAGTCCTACTCTAAGAAACTTCATAGAGAAGTATACACAGTGCAAAGTGCCAGATGAATCTACTGTGCGCAGAAATTACATAAAGCAGTGTTACGATCTTACAATTGAAAGCATTAGAGATAAGATTCAAGGTAATTTTGTGTGGGTATCAATCGACGAAACACAAAATTGTGAGGGACGGTTTATTGCAAATTGTATAGTTGGATCCCTTAATAAGAATGAACAATCTATCCCATATCTTCTTGTGGTAGAGCAATTTGAAACCACAAATAGCTCCGCAGTTTCTGATTTTTTTATCAATTCCATGAATTTACTGTGGCTGAATGGCATTCAGTATGAGCGCGTATTGCTCTTTGTGACTGATGCTGCAAGTTATATGATGAAAGCCAGTACTGCTCTTAAAGTTATATTTCCAAATATGACACATTGGACTTGCCTTGCCCATGGGTTGCACCGTGTTGCAGAAACAATTCGTGCAAATTTTCCGCTTGTTGAAAAGTTGGTGTCTTCTGTGAAGAAGGTATTTGTTTAAGCACCATACAGAAAAGAAACCTTTAAAGCAGTTGCACCGAGCATTCCACTTCCATCAGAACCAATTTTAACACGCTGGGGCACATGGCTGTGTGCAGCGAGTTATTATACCGAACATTTAGAAACAGTTAGGAATGTTGTGAATACATTTGATCCCAAAAGTGCAGCATCAATTCAAATTGCCCAAGATGTACTAAAAACGCTGAACTAGAGACTAATCTTTCCTATATATCTGCTTAATTCTCTCATCTTCCATCCGCCATTTCCTCATTGGAGGCAAGCAATAGCAATATTACTTTGTATCAGTTGTTAAGTGTGTTCAAAACCACTGTTTTCAAATTGAATTCGGTTCCTGGAAGAGGTGAAGTAGTAAAGGAAAAAGTACACAGCATTCTTTCAAAAAATCCAGGATATGAACAAATTTGTGAAATTGAAGAAATTTTAGCCGGTAAACATACTGAACTGCCAAGTAAAAAATTACCAACAGTGGAGCAAATAGCGACTATTGTACATGCGCCCCCAAGTTCCTATGGGGGGGAAAGAAGTTTTTCCTGCTATAAGGACATCTTACGAGACAATAGGAGGCGACTAACTATGGAAAACCTAAAACATTTAGTAATTGTGAACTGCAACAGAAGAGAAGTTGAAAGTTCAGAGAGCTAAATGTGAGTACCATTGGTTTTTTAAATTTGTAATGAAATATGTTGGCGTTGTTGCATGATTTGTATTTAAGTATAGCCTTTTCTTGCAAGTGAATCATTCAGTGATTACATAAAATGGACTTAAATATTGATTTGTTGGTCTTAAAATAATGTAAAATCAATTTTAATATTTGGTATAAATTTTTTGGAAGTTTTTCATGCATAAATGCATACATATTTAAGGGATTATTAGGGCATAAAAATCTGGTCCATAGTCATCACTATAACTGCAGAGAGACCAAAACAGCTCACACTGTACACCTGTGAACTCGATGGTTTGTTTTACTAGTTGTGAAAGTTTTACTTCTCTATCAGTTTCTTCATAACAAATGTCTGAAAGTGTAAGATCATTATAACAATCCCGAATTATGCAAATAACAGATTACTCAAGTTATGTGGAACCATGTCCCAAAATGAAATCACTACTCACTGAAGCCTTATTGAGAGCAACGGCTGCATTCAGTTTCTCTGGGCGTCTGTATGGGGAACCATGAGCAGAGAACCTCACGTCAAGAAGTGATGTGTTTGAGTTGTGTGGTGAATGCAACACAGTAAAGACATCAACATTCTCAAGACTGACGTTCAATATACGAGCCAGGCGGGCACGGAAGAGCTCATGTTTGCTTGGTGTTCCATAAGGACCTGGTCGAATGAACTCTTCAGCTGTTATTCCAAACATTCGCACAGACCCAGACTTATCCACTGCCTCTTCAGGAATCTCCTTTACTGTCACATTAACCGTTGCATCGACTGAATGCCGTGGTATCTGAGGCGCTTCCTCGGTTACCTATACAGACAGTAATTCACATGGTGCTATAGTAAGTACTGCTAGAAGGAATCAGGCATGCTACATACCACAGCCAACTCATTTCATTTTATCATCCTAAAAATATTTCAATGTAGCTCCCCATTACATTAGTTTCTGCTTCCTGCAGTTATATTACCTGCATAATTCCATACATTCTCATCACCTGGTTCTCAGACTACAGAATTTATGTTGTCTTCTAGGTTATGACCCTATGCAGTCTAGTAAATGGTTACCAACATTTCAGAGAAACATGCTGCTTTCATCTTCAAGATGCTAGATTATGGAGGCTTCAAACTCCTACAAAATTTTTATACACCTATCAGACTACACGGGGGGTATGCAGTAGTGTAGTTGGCTGAGGCACTATGCTACAGGCTGGAAGGTCATGGGTTCGAGTCCCAATAAGGTGGATTTGGGAGCTGCAACCTCTCACAACTTTATGGGCCTTTACTGCCTATTACAGGGATGTCACCTTCTTATCAGACTACATGGTGCTGTAATTCAGACAACTGCAATCTAAGAACCTCACTGCTGTGAAACCCATCTGTTTTCTTCCCTTAGGTGGAACAATCTTGTTTCAAACCCAAACAAAACTACAGGTAAAATTATAGTGCGGTATATTTTAAATCTTAAATTTTTATGTATAAGAACTAAAATTTCCATCAGTATGACCTATGAAATACTGCTACCATACAGTTATACCTCTAGCCCTGTGAAATATGCAACTCCTGTGATACATGTGACAGAAGAGAGCAAGCGACATGAAGTCTAAAGCACTGACGACACTAGTCATTCAGAAAAAGAGAACTTATCCGTCTACAATTTCCATTGTTTAAGTACCAAATGCAATTGCAATTCTACTTTATCATTAAACACTGTTAAATAAATAAACACAATAAACAAAATAAATTTACACAAACAGGAATAAATACACGTGGCAATGTTTCCATGATGTGCAGTACATATGGTTCACGTACCTTCACATCACTACTCCCACACCCTCGGTCTACCTACCTGTCCCTTCCTCAGCTAGCAGAGCCCAGAGATGGAGAAAGCAAACCTGGACAGCAGCTGTTAACTGGTGAAATACAGGTTAAGTTGCCCCTGTGCTTAATTAAGTGCCACAGGGAGTGGAGATATAGCTCCATGCATTAATTTTGGCATTAGATAGAGGCGCAAGATTAGTTTCCCAGCCCGCTCACTCTACCCCAAGAGAAAGTACACAGTGGACTGAAAGTTGAGTCAGCCCCGAAGGCAGTCTGGATCTTGTTGGGGGGGAATAGGTTATTCTTCCATGAAATTCAACCATGATTACTTGGATGTCCAGCCTGTGGCCTTGCATTAAAGAAACAGAGATTAAATAAATAACTGTGAATTAAATCTTAACAAAACAAAATTTCACCACTTCATAAATGTGTATCAAGAACTAGTGCGCCACACCATTTCAGAAAAAGACAATGTGAAACCACTTACAGTAAATTTCAATAGGAAGGAATTGTTGGTTGTTCCATGCAGCATCGTAACCATGCCAGTGTCATAATTCAGTTCAAAGTTTTGATGTTGTACACCATCCTTCCAAGAAAAATGTTTGTCACCAAGATCCCAGTCATCAGGGTCTTCAACATACACTCGCCCTATTTCAGTATTAGGGGCTTCTCCTTTGTAATTGTAAACAAAAATGGAGCTGTGGCCTTCCTTCATCCGATTGTCGTTCACATCTCCGATCTCAACGGTCAGAGTACTTGTACCAGTCATTGAGGGCACACCACTATCCGAAATTGCGATTGGAATCATATACTTCTTCTGATCTTCTCTATCAAATGACACAAGTGCTTCAAGATTCTCACCTTCTGGAACAACAGAGGAGGAGGACAGGGTTAATCAAACTGAAAGTTAAGTGACAGAAAACACTAAACAAGGGTTCAACTCCATCTGATGTCCACACTGCTTAAACAAGGCTTTAATAATGTCAAGTCAATGAAGACAACATTACCTGTAATAGAAAATTTGTTGGTGATATCATCTGTTGCAGTACCAGCAATTCTGAACGTAAATGGAGGACCATTCTGTTCACTATCATAGTCTCTGGCGTTCAGCTGTACAACAATGCCAGGTTGCTGGTTCTCATCCCATTTCACTGGTTGAATCATGTCCAGAAATGGCGCATTGTCATTGATATCCGTAAGTGTAATAACAACTTCGGTGTTATTTCGGAGAGATGTTGGACCACCATCTTCATCATTGGCAGCAATCAGAACCTGCCACTTGGAGAAGCCGTTTGGTGGATCTCGATCCAGAGGCTATGGCACAAAATGAGGTAACATAAAACATGCTTCTGAGTTACTGCTGTGACCATTTTTTACGTCAATTTCAAACTGCACTGACCTTAATTTGTGAAAGACAACCATTCTTTGATATTTGGAGCAGCATTTGCTGATCTTCCTTTACCACGAAATACTCGATATGCTGCTCAGCCATTCGGTCCTGAATGTCAGGGTCGTACGCTTGCAACTGAAATAATAAATACGCACTGCACTGCAACTGAGGTCCTGAGCTAACTGTTCTGAAATATGGAAGTGCTGCAGCATATTTTTTGACATTCTTGAAGGTAGTAGCTACCTCAAGACATTTTTGAGTGGCAAGAATCATGAGCACTTACTGTAACAATGCAGCCTGGAACAATTTCTTCTTCCTGTATGGTGATATTTTTGTTGTATGGCAGGAAAACAGGAGGATTGTCATTCACATTCTCAATTTTGATCACTACCTTTGCCACATCATGCACATTTCCATCATCAGCCTTCACAGTGAGTGTGTACTGCAAGAGAAACAACAATCCACAAATTACTGAATGATTGCAAATGTTTTGAAGGATAATGAATGTGTATGCATTCAATGACACAGCCTGTTTTGATGGAGAGCAGCAGGAGAAAAATTTAGACAATTTCATGACACATTATAAGAATGTTATATTTAAGCATCCTGTTGCACTGATTCATGTCCATGATATGTATGTATTGACCGTCTTCTAGTGCACACAATCTCACTTGTAGTGAAGTGACAAGTGAGATTGTGGGCACTAGAAGACGGTCAATATCTGGTGGAATCCAAAAGTTCCCGAAATATATTAATAAAAACTATTACATCTTACCTAGATCTTATTCTGCACCATCACCTTCAAAGTAGTCCCCTTGGGAGCGCATACACCAATCCAAGCGTTTCTGCCACTTTTCAAATGCATCCTGAAAGTCTTTCTTTGTTAGGGTGTTTAGTACTGTCTGTGTTTCTGCTTGAATTTCCTCAACTGTATCAAATCTTCGCCCTTTCAACTTGATTTTCATCTTGGGGAAGAGAAAGAAGTCACATGAAGCTAAGTCTGGCGAGTATGGTGGGTGGGGAACAACTGCCACCTTGTTTTTAGCCAAAAGTTCCTGCACAATGTAAGCTGTATGCGGTCGTGCGTTGTCATGGTGGAGTACCCAGTCGTTCGTGCGCCACTTCTCTGGACGTGTCCTCCCTCAAACGCCTTAGAACATCACGACAGAACTCTTTATTGACTGTCTGACCAGGAGGGACAAACTCCTTATGAACAATCCCGTCAATATAAAAAAAACAGATCAACATGGACTTAATGTTGCTCTTGACTTGTCGAGCTTTTCTTTTTGGCCTAGGTGAAGAAGGGCTCTTCCATTGGGACAATTGCTGCTTGCTTTCAGGGTCGTAGCCATAAACCCAACTTTCGCCACCAGTGACAACCTTTGAAAGAAAGTTTGGATCCTCTTGAACCTGTTGCTGAAGTGCCCTGCAGACTTCCAAGCAATGCTGTTTCTGTTCATTTTGCAGCAGTCGTGGCACAAACTTCGCTGCAATCCTCATGTTCAGTTCCTCTGACAAAATTCGTTGACTTGTACCATAACTTAGTCCCAAGGTGTTACACAGGTCTTGGATGCTCAGTCTACAATCTTGCAGAATCAGATCCCTAACTTTTGCGACATTTTCTGGTGTTTTGCCCGTTGACGGCCGTCCCAAATGATCGTCATCATCAGTCAATGTTCAGCCATTTTTAAAACGCTTATACCAGTAGTAAGTTTGTGTCTGGCCTAAACTGTTTTCACCAAAAGCTTGCTTCAACATTTGGTGCGTTTCTGCAGCGGTTTTCCCAAGTTTGAAACAAAACTTTATACAGACACGCTGCTCTCTCAGGTCAGCAATCGCAAAACTGCAAACTCATGGAAACACAACAATGGAAATACATTCACCAATAATAAACCCAACCACTCAACTTGACGCCGCTTGCCACACTGATTAAAGAAGGGTGTGTGAGGAGACACCTAGCAGTATTTCGATCTACTCATAGCCATTCGTGCGCAAAATTGAAATTTCAGAAACTTTTGGATTGCCCCACGTACATACACTTCATGGACATTGTAAGAAAACTGAATAAAATAATAGAGTAAGATGGTATCTGCATGTTTCCAGAATTAAAAAAGACAGACACCAATCAGGTTTTTAGGTGAAAGCAAAAGGAAGACAAACAAGAAGACCAATATCAAAGTGGGAACATGTCACACAAAAGGAAGAACATGGGAGAAACTGAGAAGCTATGGGAAAAGACAAATGGAGGGGCTTGGAAGCTAGACAAGCCACATAAAAGAAGAAACAATTAAATGTGGGGGAGAAATGTTTCTTTTAAAATTACTTCTCATTTCTTAATGTTTCCATGCGAATAAGACAATATTAATCTTCAACAAGACTGTTACTTACATTGGTGATGTTCTCATAGTCCAGTTTAGAATTCACACGAATTTTACCAGTCAGATCTTCAATTACAAAGGCATCGTTTGTATTTCCATCCACAATGCTGTACTTCACAGTTGATGCTGCAGCAAAGAAATAACAGTTACCACTTGCAAGCATACATGGTGACATACTAGCAAACACTGGCTTTTTATATACAATACAGTGCAACTGTGAAGTCATGAAAGTGATAAATGTCATCACACATTATCACTGCACACTACTGTTTCTGTCTGGTTTGTTTCCATGAATGCACCACACATTTTTGCATTTTCTTACTGTGTGTTAACACCTGTGTGACTCTGTGATCACGATTTCAGAATGACACCACACATATGACGTTAATGAAGACAATTTATGACACATGATCTAACACTCGGTTATTGTGCACAGAGAGAAGAAAATTCTTACAAAAGTATCGCAGTTATACAGATGAAATATTATTCTGTACACTCACTCAAGATTACCCCACATTCCATTTGTAACACCGTTTCCAATCTAAACATTTCATACACTGACCTGTGTCATTATCAAGCGCTTTTACTTCTGTGACAGGAGAATTGATGTTGGAGTCCTCAGGAATTGCCTCTGCAATGTATATCTTTTGTGTGAAGCGAGGTGGGTTGTCATTCTTGTCAGCTATTTCAATACGAAATACCTGCTGACCAGTGTTGTGACTACCATCTGAGTACAATGACGATGGAGAATTGTCAGTTGCATACACTTTCACATTATAAAAATCTTTCTCTTCACGGTCAAACGTCCTCAAAGTTGTGATGTTTCCAGTCTTAGAATCAATAGTGAACAGATCTGTGTGGTCTGCCAGAGTGTATGTTACCTGGAATAACACAATTACATCTAATGAAAACCGATTAGCTGAAAAATGTTCCTCCTTCCTGTATCAACCACTTCTTGTATTGATGCTAACAACTGCAGAAACCTTTAGTGTATGACTTTGGCTTTCTGGAATGGGCTGTGTGGAATGCTGAAGGTTTTCTTGACTTCTCAGCATATATGACAGTTGGCACCATCAAGGTTAGTGTCTATGGGGGTTTTGGAAGGCCTTACATACTCGTAGATCTGGCAGTGGGTGATGAATGAGATGCATAGGCATGATTGGATGAAATTTAGTGGATTGCTAGGCAAAAGGAGGCCGTTATGTGGTTTAAAAATATGGGGCAATGAAACTGTTTTCAAGACCCAGTGGAATGAAAAGAGATGATGAACGATGTTTTTGTGACAACTGATTAGGAAAGAAAAGTTGTCATATGGAAAGGAAAGGAGGTGGCAAGATATTACTTAAAATGAAGCTAAGATGAGAAGTTCCATCCTGTCAGTCTTCATATTCCACTTGTATTAGCTTCAAATATTCACACATAAAAGAGGTGTTAACTAAGTAACTTCTGAGGGTGTGTGACACTCCCGTTTAAATTACTTCAACCTCCAAGTAGAAAAAGTGAGAGTGGAGGGACAGACACCACATCTCACCACATAATCATCAGACTGACTGAAGCTTTTGCACCATCAGTAATTTACTTGTCCAATTTCCCTTGGTGAGAATTCAAGGCTCTGGGTTTGCTGCTTTCAGGTGTACAGTACTGTCCAACAGCAGCATGCATTCACTGTTGTCCCCATGGTCCATCAACCAATATTCCCACACTGCTGGGAAGGTCCTGCCTACCACCATTTAGTAAGATCCTTGTGATCAGCAATGTTCAGTGAAGCAGCATTTAAAAGGAAAAACACTTCTAACATGGTGGGATGAAGGCTGACATGCAACAGTGGTGTAAACACTGAGCCCTTTTATATTCTCTACAGGAATTGAATGCATGCTGTATGCTGGGACAAATGTCTCAACTGGTATGGTGATTATGTGGCGAAACAGAGCATCTTGTCATTTTTGACATCCAATTAAAAACGTGACTGTAACATGCCCCTCAATGTTAATCACTAAACAGAATATGTACAGATCTCATTCATGATTCTAAATGGGTTTTCCTTATCCAAAGCCACATTAAGAATATTTTTCCAGCACACCTGATTGTTTGCTTCAGTACCATCAGCATCAATTGCTCGAACTTGCATCACTGGGGTTCCCGGTGGTTCATTCTCCAAGACGCTGCCTCTCAGAACCTCCGTGAATGCAGGAATATTATCATTAACATCTTCCACCTGAATGTTTACTGTAGTTGTGGCAGCAAGATTGTATTTATTCTGCACACGTACTGTTAGCATGTATTCTGATATACTCTCATAGTCAAGAAATCCGCCCAACTTCACCAATGCCTTAGGGCCCACCGTCTCTAAGATGAACGTCTTCTGGGAATTTGTCTGTTGTGTCCTTCCAGACACTAGTTCAAACTGCAGATCACTCTCACCTGGGATGTTGGACCTGCATCAGTGAACATATTAAACTAACTGAAATACGCAGAGTACAACCCTTCTTGAGAAGCCAACAGTGCCTCAGCTACTCAAGGAATTCCCCACTTTTATGAAACCCAAAGGTTCATGACTGGGTGACACTTAATTTCAACAGAGGTGACTATGAGAAGGACTACGATTTTCAGGCGTGTGATGTCATGAATCATAATCTAGACATCATCATAACGGATACAGAAGCAGATAATACTTAAAAAATGTATGAGAATTACAATAACATTCAGCTAATGTGACAAACTGTGGAACTCTGTATGTCTATATTTTGAGTCACATGCTCATACCCCTAAGCACATTTACTCTATGAACCAGGGCACATCACACCTTGTGTAGGAAAACCTTACAGAAGAAATATGTAGGTCATACCGAAAGTCATGAGCAACTTTTTTTTTGCATGCAACCTGGGAACAGCAGACGAAAGAGAGTATGGTGGTAGGTGGAACCAGTTATTGTGTTAACCTTCAGTGTTTTGTGACGTCAATAGCTTGCATCACGTGACCAGTATCACTCCTAACAAAATGGCCGACAACCATATGTCGTTTTGCCGGTGTGCTGTCATCGAATTTCTTGTGAAAGAGGAAATCCCTGCTGCAGAAATTCACCAGTGACTTCAGCGTGCTAACGGAAGTGTGTGCATGGATGCGAGCAGTGTTCGAAGATGGGTGAAACATTTTAAAGGTGGGAACACCTGCATCGAAGATAAGCCTCGGAGCAGTCATCCTCGATCAGCCTCAACTGAGCGCAACAAGGAAAGAGTGGATGAGATCATTCAAGATGACAGGTGTGTGACTGTGGACACAATAGCCTGGAATACGGCACAGTGCAGTACAGGAGATGATTGAAAGCTTGGGGTACAGGAAAGTTTGTGCTCGTTGGGCCCCGCGGTTATTGACCAAAGACCACAAAGATCATCAAAAAGCCATCACCTCAGAACTGCTGCAGAGATATCGACCCAAAGGCGATGATTTCTTGCTCTGTATGGTGACAGGTGACGAAAGTAGTGTGTCAGTGTCTTCGAATGGCTGGAACGGAATTTTACAGAAGGGGAACTTTCAAACTCCCAGAACACTGGGAGAAACGTATATAAGGAAGTGGCGATTATGTGGAAAAATAAAGAAAGGTCTGCATATTGAGGTGGTGTATTTGGTTTGTCAATAATAAAGCATGTTACTTTACAAAATATTGTTGCTCATGACTTTCAGTATGACCCTCATAGTATTCATTTCCCATTGGTGTATGAGTACTGGAAATATGTTTAAAAATAATATAATAACTTTCTAATGATGACATAACAGTCTAAAAGTATGGTGTACCCTCATTTCTACAGAAGATAAAAGAGTACAGACAACAAGAACTCACACAGAACTTACAGAACTGAACTTACACAGCTGTGAGAGTGGCAATTGGTGTTGAAAAGTCATTGTAGTTTTCCTTCAGCTGTACAGTCAGTCCACTAGGGCTTGAAAAACTGGGAGCTTTCTTCTGTGAATCAACAACCAGGATCTCCAGATCAATGCTTGCCATATTGTGTTCTGGGCCCTGATCTGTGGCTGTTGCTCGCATCCTAAACACATGGCCTGGTGAATGCTGCAAGTGACAATACAGAAGATATTAACAAAATAAACAATGCCTCAAGGTTTCTGACAATGACAGCATATAAGTTTATCCAACTTGCAGCGTAGCAGTTGGTTTTGTATGGCCTGAGTTAATATTTTTCTATTTCCCGAAATATGTTAGTGCTTTTCTATTTTAAAAAAAGGTAGCAAATCTAGTAAAATATAATTATTACAGTGTTCCGTATATAATGCCTATTTTTTTAAAAGAAAACTACAACAGATACAGAAAGCATAATAACGCAGTTAAATAGAGCAAGATTTCAGCTACTTACAGTTATTTTTCCACATAATCACCACCATTCGTTATGCACTTTTTCCAGCGATTAACATGCCATGCCCGTAAAAGTCTGCGCCTGCAGAGGCTAGCCACTTTCTTACAGATGCAATGACAGCATCATTGTCTGGAAAGTGTTGCCCACATAGTCCATCTTTCTTAGGCCCAAAGAGATGGAAGTCTGAAGGTGCTACACCGGGGCTATAAGGTGGATGTGGTAGGACAGTCCAGCCAAACTTTGCAGTGTGCGCGGTGGGCGCCAAACTTGTATGGGGTCTAGCGTTATCGTGTTGCAAGCAAAAGGTTGTCTGCTTCTCTGGCCTGACTCGGGAAATGCGGACTTTCAGCTTAGTCAGCGTCGTTTTGTACTGTTCAGAATTGACAGTCCCTGGTAGTTATCTGCTGATCTGTTCGGATGAGGCGCTGTTCATTGTGAGGAGTGGCAGCTGAGCAGGGACGCCCAGGGCGTGGCTTGTCGTGCACTTCATTTTCGCCACTGTTGAAACGCACTACCCACCGCCTCACTGTGCTGACATCCACTGTATTTTCTCCGTACACCTTTAGCAAGCGTCGATGGATGTCAATGGGTACAATTTCTTCGGCAGTGAGAAATTCAATAACACATTTCTCTTTCATACGCACTTCTATGTCAGACGCCATTTTGGTAGACTGCTCTTCTGTCACTATCTGTCGCACGGCAACCAGACTAACAGTAAATTGGCGGAGAGGTTCAACCTTTACTACAAACCCACCGACATCCATCTCAGACATTACATATTAACACAAAAAAATAGGAGGAATTATTTACAAAACGCCCCTAGTACAAAAAAGGATTGACTATATAATCTACATAATTTTTAAATTAATTTCACACACACCTAATAAGTAAATAATTTTGTGACTCACATCTATGGTTCGATTGAGAAAGATGACTCCAGTGTTTGCATCAATAAGAAGATATCCCTCATCTACATCCTGTTTCGGTTCCAGCTTATAGATCACAATACTGTTGTTTCCATCATCAATATCTGTTGCTGAGATACGCATCACCTCTTTGCCAAGTCGCTGATCTTGTGGTACAGATTCCCGGTAGCTCTGAAATAACAGTTTATTTTTGCATAAGCATTTCAAAATATTACTTTATGGTTGCAGGACTTGTGATTAAATATTACTGTGTAAACTGAACAACATAAAGAGCTATAAATGCTTCCATTGTATGTAGGCACATATATATATATCCTTCAGCATTTCTGATTAGGTTTGGGTAACATTAGATTAGCATAGATTAGGTTACACCAGATTATTCGCTTAGTGGGGGGTGGAGTCCAACTGGGTCCACTAGGCACGGCGGCCACTGATTGGCCTGCCCCGGGTGATTATGATGATGGAGAATTTGGTGGAATGATGATTGGCTGGGGAAACCAAAGTACTCGGAGAAAACCTGCTCCAGTGCCACTTTGTTCACCACAAATCCCACTTAACCAGACCCGAGATCGAACCCGGGCCACAGCAGTAGGAAGCCAGTAACTAACTGCTTGAGCATGGCATGGCCTAGACAAGATTAAGTTAGGTTAGCTTACAGTCAATATATACATATACACCCTTCCACATGTATTCATTCTAAATTAGCAAAAGGAAACTTGAGTACAGAGTCTGAATTGAATGTTAAGTTGGAACAGTCTGACAAGACCAATCTTTGAAGATGATGATGATAACAAATTTATTATTGATTAAAACCATAAACATTTTGTTATTTTCATTTAAAAGCAATAAAATTTCAAATTCTATATGAAATGTACATGCCATAAAATTTAAATAAATAAATATGCTGGTTAAGGTACAGTCAAGGAAAATTGTGGCATAACAAATGAAACCCTTTCAAATATGATCAGAAGAGTATGCTCAAAACATGAAGAAAAAAAAAAGTACATGTAAGTAAATGTAAAGCTATCCCCCTAACAGGCCGTGGAGGCCATGGGGCTTTGAAATACCAAGGCTCCCACATTCTCTAGACAACTGGCTCACAGATAGTGATAAGGTTGTCAGCCTTATGCACCATTCACCCCCCCCCCCAAAGATCCCTATTTATACATTTTCATGGCTGCTCTCTGCATCGTATCTCTCACACTGTTGGCATCATAACCACGTTTTAATCTTAAATTAATCAAACTGTTCAATAATGACAAATTAACATGAAACAACAATAATATTTTATGGGGTACAGTCTTCTGGGATGTAACATTGTGCAGCTCAGTAGAAGTTCTTCAAGACTATATGGCATCACATTCCAGAAGATAGGCCTCTTCACAGACACTGACTGCTCTTAAGTCTCAAATCCACATAACCTACTTTCATTAAAATATATACATTGAAAATAAAAACATAACGAACAGGTTACAACATAAACTAACCAACTTCAAGGGAGCTATGCCCTCCTTGAGAATCCAACAAACAGCTGCTTGACCACTCAAGAAGTTTATAGCATTTTATGGAACATGAAAGTTCAATACTATGATCACAAGAGAATACCACTGGTCCTTGTCCCGAGTGAGATGAATCCAGTTCACACTCATATCCCCATTCTATTTCTCTAGGATCGTTTTTAATGTTATTCTCCAATGTATATCTGGGCTTCTTAGTATCTCTTTCCTTCAGGTTTTCCTATCAAAACTATGTATGCATGCCACTTCTTCCCCATATGTAGTACATTAAAATAAATCTGAGGTGTTAACATGCTCTTGACATTAAAAAACAAGTGACAAACCTTATACATGTAACCTGGAAAGACCTGCAACATACATAAGACTTATTCACATTCCAAAATTTGACATTTAACACGACTGGAATATTTAAGACGAGAAACTGGGGGAAGAGAAAGAGGAGAAGATATAGAAGTAGAGTAGAAGAATAAGAATAAAAACTGGGAATGGATAATCAGATAGATGAGGGGAAAGGGGAAGAATAAGACAATGGAGGATAAGCTGGAGATTCAGGGGAGGGAGGACAAGAATTAAAAGTAAAAGGAAAATGAAGACAAAAAAGCAGAAGAGAAGGGAGAAGGAAAATATACGAATGAAAAGGAGACAGAAAAATGTTAAAGAAGCGGGAGGAGGAGATAAAACCATTCCTTTTGTATCATCTCCATTTGTTCCTTGTTCACAAAAGCATCACTCAACACTAACCTAACTCTGCCTTATCGATTTGGGTCTGAAAGCAATATTTGTCTGTCTCTCTCTCTCTCAAAACCCATGTGGAACATAAATATCCCAATGTGTACACAGTAAGAACCACAAACACAATATTAAACGGGTGTAGCTTCTGACAGTACTTACCCCCTGACTTATGTTATGTGCCCAAGAACAATTGCAGAACTCAAAACTTTTGTTACTCCTTTGGTTTCCCTACCATTTATTTTCAGTGAAAAATATATAATTCAAATTTCACACATTTATCAATCTCTTTTTTGTGTTAGAAGATTGAACAAAAAAATAATAAACTATGTTAATTAAAATTCATCCATGCTGATGCTGCATTAAGTCAGGGAATACTTGTTTGCATTCTTACTTGCAATACAATCAAATTTTTCAAATTAGCATATTTAGTTAAGTGCACCATGTGGCAAAAGCATTAAGATGAAATCAGACAAGTAAAAGTAAGTAAGTAATGTAAATGTATCCCTGTAAGAGGCCATGGAGGCCCATAGCATTGTGAGATGTTGAGGTTCCCACATTTTTTAGACAATCAGCTCATAGATGGTGGCAAGGTTGTGCCCTACGTGCTGGCCGCCCTTTACCCCAAGAACTTTCCAAGAATATTCCTGGTACTCATTTCGTTAGAGGCTGAGTCGACCCCAAGGCCATAGTGTGGCTGGAAAGATTAGGACAACTGAAAAAAATTCAATGACTTCATCGGGACTTGAACCCACAACCTTCCGGCTTGTAGCATAGTGCCCCAAAATCAGACAAGTTAAGAACAATAAGTAACTTATATACTGTGTACTGAATCAGTGGTTCTATTATTAAATTACATCATACACAATAACCTGAAATCAGTGCATTAAACCTCAAAACTGTTCCTGACAAAACACCATCTACACATCACATAATACTATATATCAGTAACCTTATGTTGTCCTTTTTCTTTTAGCCCTCTGTAGTCCAAGTTATTTACTAATCCTTTGCATGCTATGTGCCAACTAGATCAGTTTGGGACACTCTGAATCAAAACTGCCACAACCAAAGATATCAACTTATTAATCAACTGGAATAGCATTTCTGTCAATATATGGCATCAAGCGTGACATACCAATATTTAAGAGGTCAGAACAGCCTTTCACAAGATATATACCTGCTGTTGTTTAATAGTCTTTTGAAAAGCAGTGTGGGAGTTTTCTCTGTAACTGCATTAACTGCCAAGCTGCTTTGGCCTTCCTAGTTCTATGGTAGATCTTGGCAGTCAAAGGGTTAATGATTTATTTAACAAACAAACACTCACTCAGTACTTGTGAGCAAGATCATTTCCTTCCAAATATTGGATGACAGACATCTATTTCCGAAATGTTGTGTCTAAAAAACCTAGATGATGGGACAATGTCCAAATTATTTTAATTCATTCAAACTGCAGACACACTGCGAGCCACTGGTGAAGTCAGATATTAGAAACAGAAACAAGATGTCATGATAACGTTATCAAATTTTATAGGCAACAATTCTTTGAATGCTGAAAAATATCAACACTGTAGCAGTAGCACAAATGAAAACAAATGTCAGGTTGTGTTCAGTTTGCACCAAGAAAAATGAAACAAGTCATCCATAAATCCTTAAAATTTATCTGTTTCCACATCCTCATTGCCTCATGGGAAATCTCATGTTCCATGCAAGTCAACACATAATTTGAAACTATAACCTCCACAGTGAAAGAGTTTCTACCTCAGTAGGATGGTATATCAAAAACATTCCACAAGAATTTTGCAATGGATGTATCACTTACCACTTTGTCAAACACAGGTGGGTTATCGTTAATATCTTCAATTATAACTTTTATTGTACATGCATCATCTAGCTGAGGGCGTCCATTATCTGTAGCACGTACTGTGAGATATACTTCCTTCTCGCGTGTTGGCTCATCACGGTCAAACATCTGCAACATAAGAAACATAAAATTAAAATACACACTGCAGAAATGGGAGAGTTACGGAGTTTCTACCAATAAATTAAGATTGCTGGTTTCAGATATGATGCTTAACAGTAAGGTATACAGCCACCATTTCTTCAGAGGAACATTTTCTTCCTGACTTCAAGGCCTTTTACCATTTTATGTGGCATCGCTTCCCAGAAGGCCAAGATCTCATTGCAGAATGTGTATTCAGGCCCCTTTTTATCTGCATTGTACACGAGGATGAGGGAAGAAGTCGAACAGTGGTTACTGTTGCAATGAGGTAGATTGAGATATACTGTAAGTAAAGACCCATTATAATCCATACACTCCCTACAATCTTTATCTCAGTGGAACTGATTAAATCCACTGTGCATTCAGTTTATAACGGTCTGATGTAAACACATAGGCAATACTTACTTCAATGGATATGGGTACATGTACAGTTCACCACAAATTCACACAAAGAACACAGTCTCATGTATGATTCAATGTTCTCACAGCAATGATTAAGAAGAGTTCTGTCTTCTGGGATATAACAGTGTGTACTCTGCTGAAAGTCAACCAACACACATGTGGCCTCCAACTTCAGGGTCGATGAATAGGCCAAGTGAAGTAAGTAGCAAAGCAAAGTAATATGCTTGCTGAAAGTTCGGGTTTATATAGGAAAACAGGGCAGAATCCCAGGACAACTCCCACTTGCACACTCACAGAAGAGAGAAAAAACCAAAAGGAGACAAGACATAGAAAACTAGTGTTGGCCCCGGAGAATGGGAGAGATGCCATGGGTCACAGGCATGTGATAGAAGGTAAAAAGAGCAGAAGAAATAGAGGAGGCTGGAACAGAAAGGAAAGGTTTAGTGCTGATGAGTGCCCAGAGAGGACAAATTTGGTGACCTGACAAGGGAAGTGTGTATGAGCTACACTGTCCCATCTACAGACTCCATGTTCCTCCAAAATGTCAGTTGACCTTCAATGGACTACAGTTTTACTTCCCAGACACATTTTTCGGCTCATCACCTACGTTTCTCTCATCACAGACAAAATAATATTAACATATCATGGTACTGTAACTTAAATAAACCCAATGAACAACATATTCTTGTAGTCTTGTGTAAGGTCTAGGAGAGTAAATCAGTGCCAGAAACCCAGTTAAGGACAACTACCAACATAACTGTACAGGTAATGGAAAAGGAAAAGAAGTTAACAGGAGTGGCTGCTGCAATGATTCATTTAATATCACAAACTGAGAGGCACTTACATGTCTAGTCTTGATTACTCCCGACTCAGGATCAATGGAAAATTTCAGTCTTTCTCCAGGTGCTGACACAAATGTGTATGTGATGGTACCTCCAGCTTCTGGGGGATCCTTGTCGACAGCTTTAACCGTAAAGACATATGTATCTGATGGTTCCTCTTCCTTCACTGTTGGGGCATACTGGGAGCAGTTAGTGAACACGGGCTTGTGGTTGTCTTGTACTATCAATCGTTTTTCTGTGTTTGTGAGTTGCTGCAACAAGCAAGAACCGAGCAGTGAGTTAACACATTAATTCTTAATGATAACACTTGATATTCTACTTGTGTTTGATACCCACATTAAAAAAAAAACTTTTAAACTTGCAAATAAGAAAGCCGTAACTAAAAAAGAGATATTTTAATTCAGATGACCCTGCAGGTAAAACTTTGACAGTTTCCTGAAACAGTTATCTGCCTACAAACTACATTGTGTCACAGCATATAAGACAAAAACCTGAACAGTCCCCAACAAGGCAACCTGAAAACATACATAGATATTTTATCACTAACTCCATGCAACAGCAATCTTTTTCAGAAACTGACAGTCACACAGAAAGGCAAAATCTGAAGTTTCTTTATAACGTTCATAAGAACACAGCACTGGATCCTATCATCAGAGAAGTTCATAACTTCACACAGAATTTCTTTAGGTTCCACTTTAATAATGTGACATGTATGCACATTGCTAGGCAACGGGTCAGTAAACAAGCCTTCTCAACAACAGAGAGGCTGTGTTTTAGCATGGTCCGTGCAAAGTAGTCATAAAGAAATGTTCAGCTGCATAAAGTTAAGTGAACAGTCGAGTTTCGGGATGTCAGCCTGCCGGGATATTAGCTTGGAACTGAAATGAGTCAAGTCTTCAGAATTGGCAGATGCAGAAAAACGACAAGGAAGGAGTCAGGTTGTCAAAAGAAGACTTCATGTGTGATTCGAAGTTACACTGAGTGACTGTGATATATGCGTTGCCAGGACACAGCTAGTGAAGGCTGGGAACCCTAGTGTGTGTAACAGTGAATTGTAAAGTGTGTAGATCAACGATAGTGTTGTACTGCCTATATTCCCGAGCTGAATGCACTCGTATAAGATGTCAATAAATCCAATCATCCAATCCAGAACCGGTCTTGGAAGTCATGCAACAACACCCAACACGTGACAATATAATTCTATCTATGCCCATGTCTCCCAAGTGGTCTATTCATTTCATGTTATGCCAACTAAAACACTATGTATCTTGCAGCTATGCCATATGTGCTATGTTCACATCCCATCCAATCCCCCCCCCCCTTCACATTTGATGGTGAAGATAACAAACTATTGAATTCAGCAGTTTTTAGAACATTCTTTCCAATCTGAACACTGCTTCACATGCAGAGCAAACTGGTAACTGTGTACGAGTTAAAATGCTCTGCCTACACTTTTGGGTGCAAATGAGATAATCACCCCTCTCTGAGTCTCTGCACTGTGTTGCAATATCTGCACACACTTTGACCGGTTTGCCTTACTTGCAAGTGTGAGAGATTACAGAAAGTTTCCCCCCCTTAATTACATTTATAAACTACAGCTGATTTCCCTAACTTCAAACCTGCTTTCACCAAAACTGGCACTGATGGACACAGTAAACTGGAGAGCTCACATGAAAATATGTAGGCTCAATTCTCCAGGTAGATAAAAAAATTCTACTTGTCAGACATTTCTCCACAAGAGAACGGACACTTACCCATGTCACTCTAATTGCACATGACAAACAGAACCCATAAACTACTACCCTTTCATAATGGGTATATAAAATATAATTTACTGTTCAACGCCTCTGTGCTTATGCGTATGTGTGTGTGTGTGTGTGATGAAAGAATATGAGCAAACAAATTTTAAGATCTTCCCATTCATTGGCCTTCATTTTTCACCTGTCGTGGATTAGCATGCAAGAGGGTTGGTTGCGACTTTGTGTGTTTTGAATATCACTGCATTTGCAGGAAATGTCCTGTTTGTTCTCAAATAATTTAGTTCATGGAACTGATGACTATGGGCATTTAATACAGGCTCAGAAATGGGCCTAAGGAATGCAATAACAGTGTTTCACACAAATTAAATTTCTCATGACAACAGAGGAAGCATGAGCCTTGTGGAGCTCACCACTCTAAAATTAAACTGAACAGCTATAACAGAGACTTGTATGTTTGCCCTGGCTCTGCTGTTTGCATATTGCTTGTGGGCAAAACTCTACATCAGGGGTATCAAACTTCTTCCATTTCCAACTCGTTTGAATATTAGCAATAAAACGACAAAGAGAACTAATTAACGAGCTCCATGGAGCTGAGATCTTCTTGAGGATTCAAAACCTGCTGAGTCACCTAAACAATTTTTAAAATTGCATTTAACCTGAAGATGTATTTGCCACGTTCACATGTGCCCACCAATGGTCCCTATCCTTGGTCAGATGAATCCATCCAAATCCTCCCCCTCTCGTTCTTAAGATCCATTGCAATATTTTCCTCTCATCTACACCTATGTCTTCATAGCAGTCATATTCCTTCAGGTTTTCTTACCAAAACATTGTAAACACTTCTATTCTCCCTTGTGTGCTGCTACATGACATGAACTGTTATCAGATAAGGAAGTTATAAGTTATATACTGAGTGATCAAAAAGTCGCACAATATTACTAAGCTTCTCACACAAAAACAGCTGCAGTGTTGAATGCATTCCATCAGTTGTATTTAAGCACTCGGTCACTTTTTTAAGCACTGCATTTTATTGCGAGGTAATTTGGAAGAAAGCGTTGGGCATGATATGTATTGCTGAAGAGCCTTATCTTCTGGAATGTGATGCCACGTAGCACAGTAGAGGTACCAGTGTTTAGGAGGAACGCACAGCCTTTCATCCTTAGTTTGAAGAGTAAGCCAAGCAGTGCACAGTGTGAGCTGCATGTGGCTCACTTGTCAATCCTGAAGATGCAAGCGGTGCATCCCTTCTAAGCATTGGTAAATTTCTAGCAGACAATTTTTTTAAATTTGTTACTTAACGACATCAGCATCAAGACTATATAACCTTGATGATAGGATGATTAATGAATTTGGGGTAATTGCGATCGAACCCAATAGATTATACGGCATCATATCCCCCACACTAGTTCCTCATAGTCACGTGAAATAAATTTTTTAACAGTTATTTTTAAATTAAAGCCAAACTACTGGAGGCTTAAACAGAGTTGGAATAATATGTCTTGTGGGACATAACAGTGTATATATAGTTTGATTGAAGTTTGAAGTTTTGATGGAACATACTGCTTTCATCTTCAGTGCACTGATGTACCATAAAGGTGGAGGCATCAGGTTCCTTCGAAACGCTGATTACTCTCTACCACACTATAAACGGAGTGATGTACTAGAAGACAGGTATGTTCATACTCACTGCCGTGAAAACTCCCAAATTTCATCAATTTTCGTTGAAGCCTTCAGTCACAAATTTCATGGAAATCTGTTCAGTGGTTCTCGATTTGTTCCATGTGGACAGGCGAACAGTCTGGTGCGTTCTTTTTGCAATTTTTCATTGCGAACACGCCTAAACGCAACTAGCGCCACGATGTTCAAGCTTCGCACCCCTGTTTCTGAAGACACGACGCGGGTTCCCGCGACAGGGGACGAAATACCGCACAGCATTCATTATTGAAGTTCTCATTACAGCTGAATCCACTGCAACTCTTAGAAATACACAAGGGAGGTTGAGGCGTTGGGGGGAGACTTGGAACAAAACTGTCAATGCGTCGAGGGGTTGGAGCTGCAGGAGTTGATCAAGACAGCACAAAGAAACGCCCAAGCGACGAACACCAGGCGTCACAATCCCACAACAAACCAATCATGCACGTGTTCACGACGAAAGGAAAGAAAGTTACTTCCACAAATAGGAAATATACAGGGATTTAGCAATACAAATACACAACAAGTGCATCTTTTTATGCTCTGAAGACTTTCAGAGATCAAAAGCCAACATCTGAGGCAGGAAATCTGGTTCAAGACCTTCGTATAAGACATCATTTTCTGTACTTGGCTTACCCTGAAGATGGAGGCACGTTCCTCCAAAATGTCGGCATTCTTCGAAACGGTCTCATAACCCACAAGACCACAACATGACGTTCAAAATTATCCAAGGCTCAAAATATTTATATACCTGCTATATATAGCACGTAAAACGATCAATGAAATTGACAAATTAGCCCTACACTCCAAAGTGGGAGGGAGGGGAAGAAAAAAATATATATATAGCACAAACAGCAGTTTTTTAGGGTGTGAAGTCGCATTCTTCTCCTAACTACACGGCGTCACATCACAGAAGACCGTAAAATCTCGTATCTTATGCAGGAGCGCCACAATTTGTACTGTTTACAAGCCGGGACAGCACACTAGGCATGGCAAAGGGCTGAAAGCCCAGGGTTCGAATCCCGGCAGGGTACGTAGGGATCTTTCCCCTGGGGTAACACAGCCGGGGAGAGAAGCTGACCACTCACCTCCAACTAGTGTCTAAGTCAAGAATACGTGAATCTATACAGCCACTCCCCCCATATGTCTTCATGGCGTAGTGCTTAATTAGTTTAAGGACAGGGTCAACTTTATCTTACGTCACTATATCGCAGCAAATTTGGAAGAGCGCCAAAGTTTGGTTACAACCAAAATGAGAACCAAACAGGTTGTACAATTCGTTAATAATTCGATCCACCTAAAAATTCCAGTTCTAACATGGTGACATCCAACATAATATGCAACGTCAGTCTGACCAATTTAATTTAATAACTGTCGGTGCGTATGGGCGTGTATCTCCCCTCGAGTTCATAATTGTTACATTCCATCCCTCGCCTTCCCACAAATCATAAAATTGGACACAAGAGTCGATACAAATCGAATCGAACCGAAATGGTAGCTCGGCATAATTGTTACACTTTTCGTTAACAGATGGCGAAGGTTGTACTGGTGGCTACGTTGACACCGGCTATTGGTTTCTGTCGCGTTGCTATTATCGTTCGTTTCTATTAATCACGAATATTCACCATCGCTACAACAAAAGCTTAGAGTTCCTCTGTTCAATTCTGTTTACCATGTCATAGTAGATTTCTCTGTGATCTTTGTGCACAGAGGATAAAATGAACATTTATGGAATGGGGGTGGGTGGTTGGGTGGGGAGGGAGGTTTAGAATGTTACCTTCCAAAATACCCAGTGAATTTCAATAAGATTTGACATCAATGTGTATACTGCCATATAAATTTAATTTGGGTTCATATCACACAAATACACAACTTTGCAGACAGATTCTTCCATTGTATTGGGTCTTTTTCAACTTCACCATGAACGCGAATTACAATGAAATTACGTACACGTCGCACAATCCCCAACTAACCGCGCTGTACTCAGGTCTGATTCACACAATTTATGCGAGAACTATTCCATGTGTAGGCGCGGCGTGCAGTTAAACGAATCACCATCAACACATGTCGGAATGCCTTCGGTCCATTTGTTGACAGATTAAAACAGACTGAGAGCCGGGGCGTTTGGTGCAAAAAGGCACTATGTTCATTTGCATTCTTACTGATTACAAATTCTACACGAATCTGCATCCAATAAGTGGGAATTAAGGTTCTCACACCGGTAGTTCTGAAGTAGTTCTTCCTTCATGGATATAACGCCGTATAGTCCGTTGAAAGTCAACTGACGTTTCGGAGAAACATATCGCCTTCATCTTTAGTGTTGAATAAGCCGAGAAAGATATCAGGGAGAAACTTGTCACCTGTTTTCACACTGGTATCTTGCTCGGCTTGGTAGAGGCCTTGCGACGAGCTGATCACTCGCCCAAGAGTCCTACCGAATGTGTAAGATCTATTAAACCGAAGTGAAACGGAGAGTTTCATGGACGTAGGCCTAGGCCCAAATTGGGGCTATAGCGCCACAGGGAAAAATATTTTGCTCGGCTTATTCGACGATGTTCGGTTGATTTTCAACGGACTACACGCAGTTATATCACAGGCGATGAGTACTCCTCCTCCAAAAACATCCCTTCTTCGATGCTATGTAGGTTGTTCGTCCTTGGGTGCCTGGCGACTAGAGCCGGTTTTTTAATAGGTCATTATGTTCGCCTGTTTCGTTAATTGGTAACCGTTTAACACATGGGGCAAGGTGAAGGCAGTAAATAGCAGGCAATCTACGCTCCTCCCATAACTTCACACACAAAGTTTCACACCCATACAAAAACAAAGGCAAAATTATAGTTCTGTATATTATAATTTTTATGTTTTTAGACGACAGACGAGAAGACGAAAGGTTCTGGACTGAATGGTAGTAGGCATTAACCCAAATTCAGTCTCCTCTTAATTTCCTCCTGAATCGAACTTCGGTTTGTTACCGTCTTTCCCATTGTAAAGTTGTCCCTGTGCTTAATTAATTAAGCACCACGCCACAAAGATTTATGGGGGAGTGGAGGTATAGCTCCACCATTCTTGACCTAGGCACTAGATGGAGGTGAGTGGTCAGATTCACGCCCCGGCCACTTTACACCCGAGGAAAGAGCTCCATCCACTGGTTAGCTGGGCCCCAGAAGCGGTTTGGACTCCTTGTGGAGTACAGACAAACTCTTGCCCCTGCCGGGAAATGAACCCCGGCAGTCCAGCTCGTTGCCCGTCCCTAAACCAACTGAGCTATCCTGGTTACCACAGCGTATCTAGTAATGATATGTGAAGCCGGTCACGGTAGCCGAGCGGTCTAAGGCATGCACTGTCTTCGCTCGCTCGGAAGCCGGGATCGTGGGTTCGAATCCCATTCAGGGCATGGATGTTTGTGTGCGTTTTTCTGTGTTTGTCTACACGTAGAGGCCTTGCGACGAGTGATCACTCGCCCAAGGAGTCCTACCGAATGTGTAAGATCTAGTAAACCGAAGTGAAACGGAGAGTTTCATGGAGGTAGGCCTAGACCCAAATTGGGGCTGTAGCGCCACAGGAAAAAATGATATGTAAAGATCTGCATCACTGCCTGACGACAAGCCTTCCAGCACAGTATACACTGATGATCAATTTTGTATGTTGTACAAGGATACATTGTCCTTGTACATGCATAACCGATCCACGTGTTCGCACAAAGAACGAAACCAAAATCCCCCCCCCCCTCCGCCCAAATATAAAACATGATGTAGTATTACAGTGGATGACAAAAAAAAAGGCGATACTGTTTGTTAAATTGGTGGAAACAGCCCATGCATACAAATGACGAACGGTACACGACAGGCAGCCGATTCAATATTTAACATATGACATTCGCTTGTAATAAAGTCGTAGAGTACAAAAAGTACAATTGCGTGAGAGAATAACTTTCATATCCACTACGGAATATATCAAATGTGGATAACGTTACGTCAATGTAAAAAGGGGGAGATTAAAAGAATGTTAAATAAGCCAGTATTCACGTGGCCTTTAACACTGCCAATACTAACATTTTTAACACTTTTAAGCATAAAGGTAACTATATACATGATAGCTCTATCTAAGATTAAAAAACTCTGCATGCTGACCACACAGTGTATTTATGTTCTGTATGATTCTCACAATAAACAGCGATTATTTCCCTAAACAGCATTAACCGGTTGGGTTTTGTAGAGGAGACGTAATGTGTTTCCTGTGAGGTGCGAACTGAATTTATATATACTGCATTCTGCCCACACAGTGTATTTATGTGTTCCGTACGATTCTCAGAATAAACAACGATTGTTTCCCTAAACAGCATTAACCGGTTGGGCTTTGTTATGGAGACGTAATGTGTTTCCTGTGAGGTAGGCACTGGACATTTTAAACATTACCGACGGGAACTTCAGTCTTCAAACATTAATATTTGCTGTTAGTGTCCAAAACATGAGTGGAAAGAAACGACATTCTGAATTTCATCTGTAGTAATACACATTTGACTAAAATATTTGCCGTTAGGCACTTCCAATTCCTATCTGCACAAATAACTTCGGCGGTTCACTCAAAAGCAAACATTATTTTCGTGGTTTATTTTACGACTCCGTCAGTAGCTAGTCTACATGGCGTCAAATGGAATGAATGATGACTCTAAAAAGATCTAGAAGGAACAGGTCGTGATTTTATTCCAGCAGTTATTCTGATGGACTGAGGAATGCCATGAAAACAGAAATGGTACCTAAATGTTCCACACAAATTTATGATTGAGTTTGCCAACAGAAGTATGAACTATACACATTGCCGATCAAGATATTTCCCTGCCAGAATCAGAGGGTTATTACAGACTTCATCTGAAGATGACTGCCACAGGTCGAAACATGTATTGACACAGGAAATATAAATACTGTCACGCGATAGAGTGTGACTAGAGACGGGGTTTGTACTGGCATTCGAATTTATTGCACTCTTTAAAACAACTCGTGACTACACTTTACAGATAAATATCACACACGGGCTAGTGTTCTCAGTCGCGGTCTTCACTGTGCTGCTTGGTCCCGGGCTCAAGTACTCGCAGACTGGCGGCCATCTTCCACCAGCTTCATACTCTTCTTGCTGTCTTGTAATCAAAGTCAAAGGCACATTGCAATTGACGGTCAGTCAGTCTGGGTGTCGAGGCCCTTTACCAGCGCAGTCTTTCTCGGGTCCGAGTCCCTTTGTACTAGCGACCATATTTTACTGTTTCAGATTTCAGACTTCCTTTTTCGTTGCCTCCTACGACTCGCAGGTTCACGGTGGAGGAATTCGACCCCGCCTCCACACGGGGGCTGTCTTGTATTGGCAGCTGGTCCTCGTTATATATCCTCGTCACGGAGCGCACAGAAAACGTCTCTTCCATTATTGCGTCTTCTCTCGTTGCCAGGGAAATAACGTGTTCACACAGTTCTTCCCCAGCAGTGGCTGTTGTACTGTCGCCTGTTTACACAGCTGTTATTTGGCAACGGGTCTACATATCACAGTACGCACTCACGCGAACCATTCGCTGTTAACACAAAAAACTATATTTTCCCCATACAGAGTAATTTTGTGTTTCGCGTGGCATGACGCAGAATGGTTCCTACAAGCACAGCGACATTACACACACAAAATAAGATCTTACCGTAGTTTTGGGCTGCGACTCCAAAGCATCCACCTCGAGGTTCCCGTAGGCGCTATGACTTCCTGATCTGTCCACGAGATGTCTTAGGTGTCGCAGCCTGGCACCACCGTGAGATCGTCTTGGATGGTGATAACCATCTGAAAAAGAAAAAAGTCATAACACGCGTTATTATATATTACATACTCGTATATTAAATAAATATGAAAACTCCGTGGCTCTAGTCCGCAAGCGGACTATACCGACCGAGCGACCGCCATTTGTCGGCGAGTTTAGTGCCAACTTTAGCGAATAAAGAGTGTCGCGTGGTCAGCGCATCGAATCCCCACGGCAGTTATTTTCGGTTTTCCAGACCAGAATAAATATAAAAAATAAAAATAAAAAAAAAATAAAATTCAGGCTCATATCTTTAACCAATCTATTACTTTAAGAACTATTTTAATATTATCCTGCGACCTATAGCTGTAGGTCTTCCTGTGGGCCTTCTCACTCAAGGTTTCCTATCAAAATTTTGCATGCATTTCTCTACTCTTCCGCAAGTGCCATACGATCCCCCCCCCTCTTAAAATATCTGAAGAGAAGAAACTATGAAGCTCCTCATTCCTAGGTGCGAATATTCTCCTCAGCACCAAGTTCTGAGACAGCCCCGGTTTAGGCTGCTCCTCATTCAGTGGGAGAGACCATTTATAATAATTCCTTTCGGAATAAGAAACGAGGAAGTAACTTGAACAAAAGTTAAGGTGTTAGTTTCTGCAAGTTTTATACGTTCATTTGTGGACTTTATGTGGGCCGGTTCGTTGGTGAATTATAAACTCAATTTCAGGACGAAGACCCCAGCTTCTCCTTTCCTTCGAAGTATGCACGCAATGCATCATGAAGTAAAAGGTTTAGAAGGGCGCAAGGGCATAAGAAAACAGAAACCAGAGACGTAGTCTTGTGTCACGACACCGTGCAGCAAAGTGCAAAGTGGTTAAAGCCGTTCCGAGGAAAAACAAATGCTTATTTTACGACGCTGTCAGTATCTCTGACCATATAAAGCTGAATGCTAGGATGAAGGATGAATTTGAAAGGGTTTAGAAGGAGACGGTCTTCGATAGTAAGTCCGGCATTTGTCCAAAGGGGCTGAGGAAAACTAATAACACTTCGTCAGAACAGTCGATGTCCCGTTTAGGATTCCAGTATAGCACCTCCCGAATACAAACGTAGAGGATTACTGCTACACTAGCCTAGTTGGTCAAAGAACTTGCTATCCCATTACTTCAAGGCAGGACCAGAAGATGGCATATACACGTCAGTGTTTAAACCTCTATTACAGCATCTTATTCGGAATTACTTGTACCGATCGTTGTAAAGGTAGGGTTAGCTCGACCTATTATTGTGCTTACTCTATCAGGCTGTTTTCCCATAAATGTCCAGGTTCACAGCGTATACTTTCAGTGAAATCCTCATTTCAAAGGGCCGTGAAAGGGCTACCTGTGGAGACAGACGCGAGAGCTGTCAAACACTTCCGATGAACTTGCTGCGCGAGTTCCATTAACACCTGAACCTGGTTTCCATGACAACTTGACGTGTCAAGCCCTGGATACAGGTGCTGTTTAGGCCACCTATATAGCGTAAATTGACATTTTTTTAAATTTTTATTTACATATTCCATCATAAAGAACGGTTAGGCTGTAGCAGGCATCAGAGTTGCCACATCAGTCACGAACTCTGGTACCTGCAGACTGACAAACACTGAAGAACATTCACCAAATTTACCTCAAAACTAGAACTTCTTAACGATACCATTGCTATCTGTAGACTGGACTTGGTACTGATCCTGACGTTTCATCGTAAAACGAATTACACATTCAACCTCATATACTGAGGCATTACACGAAGAGTCCTATGACCATGCATGTGACGCCGTGTGATCTGGTATAAGTTCACAGAAATTCAGAGGAACGTGTTGGCTCCATCTTCAGGGTCCAAGAGTAAGCCATATGAGAGGCTGGATGCTTGGATTATTTTTCATCCTGAACACAAAGGCATAATGTTCCTCCGAAACGTCGGTTAACTTATATGGACTACACAGAATCACATTTCAGATGACAGTCACTGATGCGAGAACCTCAAGCTCCCCCCTCATACACTTCAGGTCCAAAAATCTCTTCACCCTACATGTTTCGTCTGTCCTTTAAAGACATCTTCAGAGTAGGGCTGGAAATGGGGGTAGGGTAGATGCCGCTTATACAGTTTCAGGACCCTTCGTTTTCAGACGTTTCCATTGCTTTAAGACGCCATAACTACCAACCCCAACAACGATAGACGTAGTAACGAATACACGGGACTGCACTGTGAAGATTTCCCTTTTTTAATGTGTGTTGGTCAGGCCTCGGGGTTTTCTTCTGAACTACGGTACCTACCTACGTGGAGAGTCGGTAAATATATCACAAATGGATATAAAGCGTAAAGCATATGACGTATCGTTCACCAATACCGATACACTTGTCCCATCGCTTTACCAGTGCGTCGAAACCCGCAACACAGAAGTCTTTTGACGGTTTCTCAGCCACTTCCGCACCTCCGTTTCAAGCTCTTCGTAATGAGCGAAACATTTGCAACCAAGGACGATCCGCTTTACGCGACACTTTTCAACAAAAACAGGAAACATTTAATTACGATCTCCGCAATGAGTCATTTTGCCCACAAAAAAAAAACGCACAACAGAACGCCCCTCTTCGGCAATACACTTTTCAAGCACGGTCGCCATTTTGACTACTGAAAGCATGTGCATGCGGATCTGTCATGAAGCTGGACTGTGCTGCTACCTAGTGATACAAACAGAAAACCTACTGCGTCCATTAAAGCTGTTTCACTTCCATCTGTGACCTATTTACTGATTTTTCCTCGTAGTCCTGAAAAGTAATTCCCATCCCTGCTTCACGAGTTATTTAAAAGTAGGTAAGAAACTTGAATTGGAAAAGTTCTTACAAATGCTGATAACATTCGTCGCTTTGAGAGCATTTTATTAGATTATAAAAATATATATTGCGGTATTTTAAAACAATGCACAACTATTTATGAAGACTATTCTGAACACCTGGGAAGTACATTCTAGTCTGTCCGGGCGTACGGCCCTCGTTCAACACAAACTGAAGTCTCCGGTGACTGAAGGAAGAAAAATTGCTCCCCCCCCTCCCCAGAGGTTACACACAGAAAGAGCAAGTGCCTTTGTACCCCCTGACTGCACCCTGTAAATACTGAATGAGCTTTTTTGGCATTCACGAAACTCAGTATTGAGGTTGTGCCACAGGAAGTCATGCCGGTGCAACATTTAAAAAAATGTAAATCTTCAACAGCACTGATATTGTTGACATTCCAATTCCTGAGTTGGAACAGCAAGCAATAGTGTTAACCAACGTACGAGCTTGTCAAACCTGTCGGACGACAGCCTACAAACCATGGGATATTCTGGATTGATTCAGAACTGAACATGGCCGCCTCGCAAAATATACTCGGACCCTGGACATGCGGCTCAATGCGATCCCGATACTGGCCTAAGTCGAGTTCATTATAAGAGGATTACGTTCCTGATGCTCGAGGTTCACGCCCGTTTTTCTTTTTCAGTATAATAATTCCCATAACACTATAATTCTACTGTTCTTATTATAAAATCAATAAATCTACCTCAATTGAAACAGTATTAAACAAACAAAAATTTTAAAAATATTTAAAATAAGGTACAAAAAATAAAGATATCCCTGTAGCAGGCCGTCGAGGCTCCCACATTTTCTAGATAATCGGCTCAAAGAGGTTGTCAGCCTTACATGCCGGCCGGCCTCCCTTTTACCCCCAGGAATATTCCTGGTACTCACTTTCTGTTAGAGGCTGAGCCGATCCCAGGGACATAGTGCGGATAGAAGATTTAATCCAATTAAAAAATCCAATTACTTCATCGGGAATCGAACTCGCGACCTTCTGGCCTGGAGGAGTGTTTCAACCAACTACGCTACAGCGTGCCCCTAAAAGTACTTTTTATTGCTAGTGGGATGGGTCTAAGTTCCTTGTACTGCGGCCACTTCTGGCCTATTGTACTAGCCCCAGATGATAGGTGAGAGTGATTGTGGAGCAATTGGTGGAATGAAGATTGGCAGGGGAAACCGAAGTACGCGGAGAAAACCTGCCCCAGCGCCACTTTGTCCACCACAACTCCCACTTGACCAAACCCGGGATCGAACCCGGGCCGCCGCGGTGGGAAGCCAGCGACTAACCGTTGAGCTATGGCGCGGCCTCCCCTAAAAGTAAGGCTAATTACTATTTTGCCGATCACAGTGGCCGCACGATCTAAAGCACATGCCTTCGCCCGCTCGAACACTGGGATCGTGGGCTCGAATCCCACACAAGGCATCGATGTCTGTGTTTATGCTAGGTATCGGCCTTGCGACGGGCTGACCCCCCTTCAAAGGAGTCCTACCAACTGTCAAAGATCAAAAAAACTAAAGTGAAAAGAAGCGTTTCACGGATGCCCTATGCTAGAACTGGAAGCAACAGGAATAGGAATAATAATAATAATAATAATAATAATAATAATTACTATTTTACCGAGGACTGCTGAAGACTTCCGACCCAGCAAAGGGGGTAGCATTAAAACATGATATCCGACATTCGAGTTTTGAGTTGCACCGTATGGTAACACGACTTCAAGACACGGAACCACGTCACATTCTACGTCCATCAATGGAACGTATCGTTTGAAACCGAATCACACGTACTGCGGCAGAGAAATGAAATCAGACGCTATCAGCCCCTCTCCTTGTTGCTAGGCTGCTGATGTCACTAGTTGTAAGCAAGTTGTATTCACGGGCAGAACGTGCGTTAATTCTCGAACCTTCGTTCGCACAGAAACCATCTGCAGCTAATCGTGACACATTTAGTGGTGCTGAATTGGATAATACAGAGACTAGTTGCAAAATTTCGGTGTACAGAAAGTGGTTACGACAGGCAGCATTAGCAACGTCGAATAGTTCAGACAGGCGATGCGTTCCACAGCGCTGAAGAAACACTAACCCAACTGGTATCACTCGTAAGCCTCCGTATACTGCCGTAATCTGCGTTGCGTTTTAAATGATACACCCTGTATAAGGATGTTAGAGTAATG